CAAGGTTCTGTAATTGGGAGGGCCATTACTTTGTGCCCGGTTCCGGGAGCCTCTGTTGCGAATTACGAAACTCGGGGATCGATCGCAGAAGGGCGACCCGCCGCGGAGCCGTGGAAGGAGGAAAAATAAAAGGCAGAAGAAGAAAAAAAATGGAAGAAACGTTGGAGAACGAAGCGCCGAGTAAATTGAGCAAAAAGAAGAGGCCGCGAGATGCAGAGAGAGAGAGAGAGAGACAAAGGGCCAAGTGGTAGGAGGGCGGAGCCGCGAGAGAGGGAGGGGGAGGAGGCGCAAGGAGAACGAGGGATGCAACCGCGAAATCGGGCGAAGCCGTGAAAATAACGATTTCTCCTTTGCGGTGCCGTTCGTTAAACCGAGACAAGCCGGTTTCACGAATGAGGAGCTGGATGACGGTGGCAGAGAGAAGAAGAGAGGAGAGCGACGAGTGTCAGAAGAGAAAAAGAGGATCGAGCGCACGCGGGGTATTCGTGACTCGTCGATATTTTTCCTGAAAGCCGAACGGAATCGACATTTTATGTAGATCGCGAGAAAAGGGCAACGTGCCCTTCTTCGTCGATGCCTGGCCGTTCTCGCTCGAACGGACAAAAACATCGGCGGATCCCACGCAACAGACGATGCAGGTAGATTGGAGAGGGGGTTGGACGGGGCGAGGGAGGAGACGAACGGCGGAGGGCTTTGTTGCGCGGCAGAATTCATCCAGAAAATGGAACTTCTTCGTGGGCGATTGTTGCGTCGCGAACAGAGAAAGCTGCCGCGGCTATTCAGAAACGCGTTCCCCTTGAATTAAATAGAAATATTTGCGTGAATGGAGAACGAGATGGACCTATTTTACGCGCGTAACGCCCTGTTATATGTATACACCTGAATTCAAATTATTGGAATTTAAGTGTGATGACGCTGTCGGAATAACCCTTTAACCCATTTAGACTTTATCGAAGGGCTTCGATGATTACAATTAGAGTATCCATCAGTCCCACCAATATCACCAAAAGCTTCAAAATTGCATAAAAATATTCTTTCTAAAGCTAGTCAAGGGCGTGATCCCCCGATCATCAGAAGCTATCTATAGAAATCAATCATTCGATCGGTGCCATTTCCGAAAAATGTCACTCCCCCCACCCTGCGACTTGGAGGCCAATTCAGGTGTCTTGTTCCGTTTTATCACCTGTCGTACATGACAGTGGTCCAAGCGTAACCCCAGTGTCTGGGTTGTACTTCGCGAAGGTCAGGTCGTCGCCCAGTTTTCCCTCGATACAGTGGAAAAACGTGGAGAAAACCGAGGCGTCGAAGGTCGGGCAGCAGTCGACGAGCGTCCTGAACGCGAAGAGACCACGAACGTCCAGCTGCAGCCCCCTTCGCAGAACGCTTTCTGTTTGCTGCGTGTGCGTGTGTGCGTGCTCAGGGCCCGATCACTGTGGAAATGTGGGTGGGTGATGGATAGACGGTTACCGTGTCACTCGTGCAAACGTTAAACGGACTTCAATGGCTGGAAATTGCATAGGCAGAGGCATTGTGCCCAGGGCCATTTATAATGGCACCTAACCGCGTCGGTGTATGCAGATGCGGGACAAAGAGAGAGCTCGACGATGCGCCGTGAGATACGATCTTGTTCCGGACGAACGAGATTCAAGGCTATTCGCAGCTGAATCGAACCGGGGAGAGGGAATTTAATTGTAACGTTTGATGACGGAATGATCAATTACTTCGATTGCTAATGTTCTGATCACGGAAATACGTCCGTTTCAATTTGTTTATACTGGAAACAGTCTGTAATATATTTCCAACTGGGGGAGAAGAATAAATCTGGAGGATTAATCAAGACATAGTTTGTTTATGTTCAGAGGGAATATTAATCGGTCGAATATAATAATATGAGATCATGCGTAAGATGGAAAGTACAAGTACAATATTCGAATTAGAAGTTTCAAAAGATCGAGTAAATTTGGAAGAAGCAATAGGGGACGAAATGTTGCAGACCATCGAGATGAATGTTCGTCCCTACCAGAGTTTTTCAGAGCGTTCTTCTACAAAAAAGAAAGTACGTTAAAAAACCGTTGATATCGACGTATCCTTTCTACCGCCATTATCCCTCTTCGTCTCTACTCAATTTCATCCTTCTTCCATTAGAAGCGTCGCCGAGAACGTCCGTTGCGTGTTTCCTTTCGAAACCGTCAACCTGCGGAATCTTCCAATCGAAGCCAAACGACGAATAAAGACCGCCAATCGCGTGGCACCGCGATAGTATAAAGAAGAAAAACGTGAAAAAAAAAAGAATAGAGGAACGGTTGCCTTATCTAACTTCGTTCGTACGTTAGCCGAAGTGTTCGCACCTGGCTCGGTTATAGTCCACGATAAACGTTACTTTTTTGCCGCGTGAGACGCCGCGAGGATGTACGAGAACGCGCGCGCGCGCGCGCTCGTAAAAGGGTGGAAAAATTGGGGGGAAACCGTACAGAATTCACCCCAAAAAATCCTTTCTACCCTCGTTCAGCGTCTTTCAACGTCGGATCCAAAGATCGCGGTAGCTTCTCACGGCTGGGGACAAAGAAGAAAAAAAAAGCGTAATTTTCGGTGAAAAGAGGGGAACGAACGACGCGATGCAAATTCAAGGGTAAAAAGGGAAACCGATGCTGCGCGTAGGGTACCTGCGTTTTTCTATCCGCGAGGGGTGGAAAGATCGAAGGCACAGGGGTGTAATCGGCCGCGCAAAAGACCGATCCGAGGACTGGTGGAGTAACTGAAATTTTATAGGGAATCCACCAATACCGACGACTCTCTCTCCTCCGTGTTGTCTAAAGCTGTTCTACCTGACCTATGTGTCGCTTCCCTCTCTCTCTCTCTCTTCTTTCTTTTTTTTTTTCACCGTTTTCAGGGGAATCCACGTCAGGTATGAAGGGGAGGGCACAGATGCGGAGGAGCGAAAATTCAGGGCGAGCACGAATGTTGCGTAGAAATTCACAGGATTTCGAAGCATTTTTTTTTCTCTGTTCTTCATCTTTCATCGTTTGACCTTCTTTCCATCCCTCGACGATCGTTTTGTGCCATCGGTACGACCATCCCCACCTGCGAGCATCGGTCCATTTGTACGAGCGTTTCGCGAGCGTTTATCTCTGTTCCCCGCTTTTGTCCGGGGCCTCGATGGGAAAATTCGAGACCGAGTTCGATCCGAAAGAATGGCTAAGCGACTTCGCTTTCTTGGTCCGACTGGTTCACTGACCCTTGCCCGGTCTCGCGCCCTCGTTGGTTTTTCACTTGGAACCACACGGAGGTGCGAGAATCATCGCTGCATTTCCAAAAAAAAGAACCCTTTTGCTTCTGGACACCAGGCTTCCGAAAGTGTTCGTCGTGCTCTCGTACCATTTTCCCAGTACGCTGCTCGACAGAATTAAAGTCGACAACCTAGTTTCCTTGGATTAGACAGAGCAATAGGAGCTCACACAGTAGCGATCCTCTAATTGTTTCAAACGGTGTACATTCTCCGGAAATTATTTTCTCGGAACACTTGGAATCCCTGATTCAAGGAAACTCCAACGATTCTATAAATAAATTTTCTATGCATATCTAAACAATTTCAAGATGTATATATATTTTTCAAAAAAAATTCCAAAGTGCAGTCTTGCATTACGGTGGGGCAAAACTGAAACTCTGTAGCTCGATACACCGTCCGCCATAGCCGCAAATCCCCCGATCAGAGTGTAAAGGGCTGTCGGTCCCAGGCGTATCGAAGTAATTATTATTAAAAACCGTTATGCCCGGGGTTGAATGCGAATGGCGGCGCGTAAGCTCGTTTTCTCGAACCGAACGAATCGGTTCCGTGCCATTATCCGTGTATACGTACCCCTTTTCGGGTAGATAGGAGGGGGGCGCGCGCGCGTAACACCGAAAGACGAAGGAAAGGGGTGGCGAGGGAGGCCCAGTCATAAGATACGATGATGGATGCACGAGATGGGGTTGTTTCCGCGTGTGTGCGGGGAGGGGCGCGCGCCTAAAGGGCCAAAGGGTTCCCCTCGAATCGTCCAATCGTACGGGGAACCTCGAATACCAACGACCAATCGTCGAGGGCCTTCAGACTTGCGCGATGGTGGGGAGGGTTGCCGGCTCGGTCGTTTCGGGCACAATTTCGTTGCGTCATTCTGACATTCGTTCTGTATCGGTCCTTCGACGAGGATCGGTGGTTCCACGCGACCTTGTTCCGTGGCTCCGTGTGGTTGTTCGCCCTTGAACGTATTCCTTTTACCCTTCGTTTGAATATTCCGAGAGTACCGAAAGTGTGCACGATATATTAATTAATCATACTGTTTACTTGGGAACACCGATCAACTTGTAATCGAATTTCCATTCACCTAGTCTATGAAGTCTTATTCAGTCTCGTTCATTCGGTTCTGTTTTTGTTTTTCGTGTTTTTTTTTTTTTTTACTTTCGACGCAAAAAGTAAATCGGTGAACAAGTGCGCGGTGGTCCGTTCTTTCGTGATGCGGTGGGAACTCGTGCGGACACCGGAAGATCGTTGGTCGTAGAGGCTATTGTTTCCACTACACTCCCATCGAGAATCACGGTCGCTGTGAACGCCGTGGATCTTGGAAACCGGACCGATGTAACGATCGGCAACGGGCCGGTAGGACCCTCGAGAACAAACGAGGCTAAGATGGTCTTCCTTGAGGATCCCAGGATGATCTTTGCGGATATGCGACTACATGCGACCAGCACGCCGACCTCCACCCCGACGCGTTACCATCTTCATCAGAAATACAGGCCACAGAACAACAATGACTGTACGAATTATTCCGTAGATTAACGGGGTTCGATTCGAAATACCGAACTGTTGAACGGAATTTCTCTCTACCCTTCATTCGATCGCTTGTGTTACGGTTTCTGGTTCCTTTGGATTAACTCCATAAAAAATCGAACACTTTTTAACGTATTAAATTTATGTATTGCTGAAAAATTAATCTGTAACATTTGTTTTATTTTTTTTTTTACAGACGCAGACCTCCACGGCGATGTGGACGGACAAGAACTCAGCGGCGACGACAGAAGTATCGTCAGTGACATCCAGGATGCCACCGAGGCGAACCTTGACCATGATTCCATGGACTCGGACAGGGAAGCTCTCAATCTGGTGAGTCCATTTTAAATTTCACAGAATGATATCGCTTGAATCTACAGTGACTCACGCATTCGTTCATAGACTTAAGCAATTTCTACTTATATATTCTCCTTATCATAACTTTTATCATCCTTTTGAAATCAATTTTTCGTCATTTTGAAATAAAATTCGCATTTTGGTAAATAATTTCGTCAAATATAGGACTACCTTTCGTGAACAAACTCGTGAGTCGCTGTATATCATTTCGAATTCCTATAAGAAACATGAACCTCTACTGATCTCGTAGATCCATTAGATAACAGTCGCCTTCTATACCAAAATACACACAAGAATATGTATTTCTTTGTTTCCACGTAAATCTGAGTCCCCATGTAGTAATAAAATTATGTTGCGCACTATTCTTTACACGTTACGTTCTTATTAAATAAAACAAATAAAATGCCAGTATTAGGAACATTTACCCTATATAGGAATAGCGATAGAGGTTCGCTATAAAAGTTTCATTTAATTAAGAATATCCATCAGGTCACGGACGTGTCGCACCGCAACAGCAGCAGCGGTACCAGCGGCAGCGCATCGTCGCCCAGTTCCGGGATCAGCAGCCAGATAACCGGAAGTCATCAGCAACAACAGCACACGGCCAGTCAGCAGAACAATAGCAACTCGCAGGCGGCGCTCGCCGCTCAATTGGTCAGCCAGCAGTTGCTGATGCACGGCTCGTTGGGCGCTCTAGGCCCGCAAGAGATCCAAGCGTTGGCCTCGACCCTGCAGCAACAGCAGCAATCGTTGCAGCAACAGTTGCAGCAACAGTTCGCGATGTTCCAGCAAGCAAATCCCGCAGCAGCGGGCCAGCTTCCGGCGCAGGCGCAATTCTTCTTACAGAATCAGGTTTGTGCACCATTTCCCTCTGTCCGAAGAAATCCTGAAAAGAAGATTCTGATGAAAGTTGAATTTACTTATTCATCGAGCCAATTGTTCGTTCTTCTGAATCATCAGAAGGAGGTTGAAATGATTCTGTAGGCATTTAAACCAAGCTGCTGTTTCAGATTACGATTTCTCGTATTAGCTTTACACTGTCTGGCAAATCAGTCGATCTATAGGGTGATTATAAGAACGAATGTCCAAGGGGTACTTAAACTCAAAAGGCAAATTTTACAGTGTCCTGTGCGCGACAAATATGTGTTTTAATCAACACGTTCGCTAGCACTATATTGTTTCGAAAACGTTCGTCAAAGACCGTGCTAGATTTCCATGAGTTGCTAAAACAGTGATAATGAACAACATGAAGTATAGATGAATATTGAAAAATCCATTCTTCTTTTATCTGACAAAATATGCTGACTTCGCATATTTGTTAACGCTGGTAGCGAACGTGTTAATGATCGACGAAAGATAAATGTTCTTTAAATACACTTTTATAGCCATCAACTTCCAACTACAGAATCTTCTTTCTCATCTAAAGGCGCAAAAACTGCTCAAATTCGGACGCGTTTCGTATCCACTAGCAAAGGAATCCCGCTCGAAGTGTGAAAAACAAAAAGCCACCGTAATACTAACACTCGTACTCCCGTCGTTGTTCTCCCGATACCGAGGCACTCCGTCGAATTACCTACTCGATACGAATTCGATTCGAATCGCGGGACCAAGATGGGGAGGGGGGCCAGGGTGGATCAACGAGGATCGAAAGACGACGTTCCGCCCGGTATCTGATCGACCGGTCCCGAGAGAAGTAGAGACATCTTATTCTTCGAGGACGGTTCGCTCGATTCGACGACGAGATAGCAGCCTGGCGATGTCACAAAGGGACGTGGTTTCTACACGGTTCGATCTCGCGTTTCTCGTTGATCTCGTGAAAAAGCTGTCATTCGTTAAATTATAATATCCTCGAATAATTAAAACACACAACACACATTTCGCACCCTTAACCCTTTCGGTGAGGCATAGTTTTGACGACATAGGTCGGTTTATGAAAATGTAAGACTAGTATAATCAGTATCACGTGTGGAAAATTTTTAAAATAACTTCGTCAGTGATAATCTATAAGATGGATTAGATGGTAAGGTATTAGTTCCAAAAATTATTGCACCGTCGTGTAAACACGTCCATAGTACTTGTAGCGACCAATTAATGAAACGTTTATACATGCTCGTAGCACCGAAATGGTTAATTACCTTCCATGTACGAATCCCTCGAACTCTGTTAATAATACCAAACTCACAGCCATCTCCGTGCTAAAATATTTCCCAGAGCATTGAATCATCCCGCCTGTCGCAACAAGAAAACGAACAAGACATTTCTCACCTGCGTCCCCGTAAAGAAGCTTCCCCTCCCCCCCCCCGATCTTTCGCTTTTTGTTCCCCCGCGAGATCCTGGTGGATCGAAATCCTCACGAAAAATCGATTCACGGACATATCCGGAGGACACACGATGAAAAACGATCTTTTCCTGGATATATACCCGATTCCCAAACGTTTCCACCACCACCGTCGCAGGGGGATGAATGGAAGAGGAGACGAGACGGGGCCTTGCACGTTCACGAAAAAAATTTCTATAGGCTCGTCGGCCGCGAGGAACGCGTGCACGGGGCCTACGTAACCATTCTGGAAAAACTAACAAAACGACTTCGAACTTGAGCAGATTTAATGGCCCAGGGGCCTGGGTATACGCGCGCGCGCGCGCGCGCGTATCTGCGAGCATTAAAGCACGGTCTTCCGTGTCTCTTTTGAAAGGTGCAACAAGGAGATCTCTCTTCGGGGCGCCCCTTCGGCACCTTGCCGCCGGGTTGCCTTTTGTTCCCTCACACGTGGCCAGGCTGTTTCTCTTTCTTTTTTTTTTTCATCTCTCCTCCCGTATCTCTTCCCCTATTTCTTTTCCCCACCGTCTTTTTCGTCCTGGGCCGGTGGCACCCTTCTCAGTTGGTTTTCTTTCCTGGAACACAGTCTCCGGATTAAAGGGTGGGCACACGACCTCCTCGATATCGTCGCGCAACCCTTCCTCGAGTGGCCTCGCAACCTGCGCACGCGGAACCCCTTTCTCTCCAAAGGTTTTATCCTCCACGCAACGGCGTGTGCTCAAAGAGTCTTTGAGGTTTTAGCCTGCGTGCGTAACCGATATTTAATTCCGTCTGACGTCTCCTTCCAGGAGGACTGTCACCGTTAATGTTCGAAGAGGTGCCGCGAGGGCTGACGATTCAATTCAGGGCGGGGGGGGGGGGGGGAACAATTTGCGAAGAACACAGTCGTGTAATGTCATTGGAAAGTTGAGCACGATTTCTCTGGTCTATCCTTTTGCATGAAATATTCAATTTGCTCTTTATTTCAATTAGAAAGAGATTTATTTATCCGTTTGTGTATCGCTTTCTCTTCGGTCGAGTCGTACATTCTTCGTGGAAATCGGGAGAATAAAAGATGGTAAAGTGATGCTCGTAAAAAAGAAGATTCGTAATACATATTCAACACTGTTTCTGCAAAGTATACATAATCAAATCCCCATCAACTAATGTACACATTTCTAAAAAGAATTCAATTATTCCTAATTACGTACAAATTCGTTTCTCCGTTGTACCGCGCTTTCACCTCGTTCACCTTACGAAATCGGCTGAACGAAATAATATGCAGGAAATAGAAACAAAAACACGGTCAAGCTTTCTAATTTCTATTATAATCTGCGTCTTGTTTTTATAAGCCCTGTCTGCAGAATAATAAAGTGGTCGAAGGGGTGTGACAGGTGACATTCATACCTAAATTCTTCGCAACCTGCCGTCTCCGTGGCACGTGTCCGTATTCAAAGCATCCCCGAGCGCGGTGCGTGTCTTCGCGGGCCCAACAATAAGCATAAACAAGCTCCGAAAGGCTCGACCGACACGCGACCAAACCCCCGAAACCCTTTTTTCCTCCCCAGGCGACGTGGTTTCGCACGAGACCCCTTGTACCTCGGCGATCGAGCATCTGTTTAAAGAAAAGGGTGAAGATAATCGATCGTTCCGTAGCACCCTTCGAGCGACTCCTTTACGTATCCTACCTGTCCGCTGGCGCAACACGTGTCGTTCGACGATCGTCTCGAATGAAAATCTCTCTTTCACGATGTTCCCCGTTACGTTGACTGACGCATGGAATTACCGGGTGTTCCTGAGACACGTTTCTTGTTTCTAATTTCTCGCTCCTGTTTCGTACACCTGAGAGCAGTCGATGAAAACACCATTTTCCCGCGGTACACTGTAATTAATATCTCGTGGGGTTCTTAAATAGGATCACGGCTCCTCCGTGACGATTCGCTCTTACGAAACAGCCGGAGAAAACACTTAAATCGTATCATTAAGCATATTTGTAAAAAAAAAAAAAAAATACACGTGGGACCGTTGTCAACCTGTTTGATCAATGGTCGTGAACGTCTTGCAGGGGCTGTTGCAGAGCGGTGGCTACACCTCAAGACCCAGTCATCCCCGCTCACAGTCCATGCAGGTACTGTCTAAAGTATAGAAACCCTTAGTTTTCATTACGTTCCAATCCAAATGGAATTTCTTCTTGGCTTCGTTAAACTGTCAAACGTAGAGACACAACCAAAGTAACAAAATCAGATCGAGAGAAAGAGGGTTGCTCGGTGTCGATGACACGAAGATTGTCTTTGTTATCAGGTGCAGCAGGCAGTGGCGCAGGCAGCCCAGCAGCTGCAAGCTCTGCAAAAACAACAGGCACTTCAGGGCGGCGGAGGTCTGGTTGGTCGAGGTTTGACGCAACAAAGGTCACCGCCGCCTCCTGGCACCCCGCCAGCGGTGAAACAACCACCGACGAGGCTGGAACCGTCGCCTGAAGAGACGACGGATCTAGAGGAGCTCGAGCAGTTCGCGAAAACGTTCAAGCAAAGAAGGATCAAGCTCGGTTTCACACAGGGCGACGTTGGCCTGGCCATGGGGAAACTTTACGGGAACGATTTCTCTCAGACGACGATCTCGAGGTCAGTCTATCGATTCCTTTTCAATTATTTATATTATCTTGTACAGAACTAACATACAGTAGAACCATTTAATTTCGATGCTTCTAATTAACAGTTAACATTTTTCTATACACTCTAAAAAGTATGGTTTCCACAAACACGTTGCTGTCTGAACCGAAGAAGATACATTACAAATTCGTGGGAGCCTTCAAGATTCGGTTCTGTAATCGTTGTATGTTTCGTATTGCAGGTTCGAGGCGCTGAACCTTTCCTTCAAGAACATGTGCAAACTCAAGCCCCTACTGCAGAAATGGCTGGAGGATGCAGATAATTCCTTGAACAACCCCAATTCCCTTTCCAATCCACTCACCACCCCGGAAGCGATCGGCAGGCGGCGGAAGAAGAGGACCTCGATAGAGACCAGCGTGAGGGTGGCGCTGGAAAAGGCGTTCATGCAGAACCCGAAACCTACTTCAGAGGAGATCACCGTGTTGGCGGACAGTTTGGCGATGGAGAAAGAAGTTGTCCGAGTGTGGTTTTGCAATAGGTGAGCTTTTCATTTTATACTACCAATTAACAAAACATCCATTCTTGGAGATACTATTTTCTTGCACGGGATAGCAAAATTCAGACTTCCAACATAAAATGAACCTAATCCTTTCTTTCAGACGGCAAAAAGAAAAGAGGATCAATCCACCCACAGCAGCAATGGGAAGCCCAACGATGGCCTCCCCAGCGCCCTCGGTCTTCGCCTCCCTCGCAACATCCATGTCTGGTAGTCCTCTAGCTCTAACGACGCATTCCTCCGGCATGGGACATTCTCATCCCCATCCGACGCCTCTAAGCTCGCCTCTACCCCTAGCCCTGGTGGCTTCGGCAGGCGGTAACTACCATCCCCTAACCGGCAAATCCCACGAGTGACACCAGCAGTCGACCCATCAAGGGGACGCTATATTTCATCAACACCATCACCAGCAATCGCATCATCATCAGCAACAACAACAACAACAACAACAACGACGTTTGTGCAATCTGCCCGAGTTCTATCATTAAACCTACCCGGGCGATCTTGTCTGCAAACGGCGATGATGCCGCTGGTGGTGTTAACGTAGCCTAGGGATCGACACGCATGGACTTCGATGCCAAATGGAATTTGGCTGCGACACGGAAAGCAAGCAACGATGATGATCGAGACAGAAACGAGACGGGGTCAAGCAATAGAAGACGACTCTGGGAGTGAACGAAGCGTCGACGATGCCCCGGGACACCGAGTGGCACGATACGATTCGATACATATCCTGACGACGAGGTTTCACTCCGTAAAATCGGCTCTCCCACGATCAGGGAGGGGGTGGTAACACGATCGATCTCTCGGCCGGAAGAGGATCGTGGCTGTCGTGCGCACCCTTGCGGTAGCATCTCGTGCAAGGGTGTAATCGACTCGATATGAGTATACGAAGAATGTTTCGGAGAGAACAGTACGAAAAGACTTTTAGATAATTATCCGTTTCGACTTAGGAAATTCGGTGTCGAACGCCCCAAAGATATCCGGAGACGAGAGAGAGAGAGAGAGGTTTGTTGGACATATGGTGGTTCCGTTAAGTTTTGCGTTTTCTACAGTATTATAATTTCTTCCGGTTGCGATCGGCCCGACCGGTAGAAATGGATGTCGGCTTGTAGCGCGCGAATGAAGCTTCAAAAGTATCCGAAGAGTGTTCCGAGCTGAATTCCAAGGAACGGTTTTATGGAAATGAAACTAGAGTAAAAAGTTACTGATAATGTGCAGTCGTTCGAGGTCCTCTGCAATATGAATTGCATGTGGACCATCGAGTAGCAACGACTATACCTGTCCCTGTGTTTATTATAATTGTTCTCACAAGTATCAATCCTACTGACATTGTAAATAATTGTATCGTAAATCTTTTCTCACAGATATCGATTCAGACTTTTCTTCGAAGAAATATGAAAAATTTCGATCGTTCCGAAAATTGACGTCGACGGGAAGCAATGGCATATCCCCCAAATCGTTACTTGAAATCGAATTACTTTGAAGCCTTCATTCTCCGCGCACTTGACGGTACACGCTCGCGTTCAAGGTTCACTCGCAAGATGCAATTAATGACACGAATGTGCAGCCGGTCGCCATAAAGAAGGCCCTTAATCGGCTTCGCCCGAGTTATCATTTGAATTATCATGAAATATTTATCAGACCGGTGAACCGTTCGACGGTACACATACACACCACACACATACCCACACACGTGTGTAAGTATAATTATCGACTGGTTTCCCTCGCGCTGGTTCCTCGATTCTCTTTTTTTGTGGCCCCGTCCGTACATGCGCTTTTATTGCACCGACTACATTACAGTTTCATTCGGCGATCTTGAACTATTCTTCGTTCGAATTTTACGATCGTGAACGAGAGAGCCGACGACCGTTCGGAGGACGATCGGTTCTTTGCGTTTTGTGTCTACGCGTTCGAATCGCGACGGTAAACGCGAGCACACGTGAAGTAAACAAGGGAGGAAGTACATTGGGAGGAACAAAAAAAAAGAAAAAAGAAACACCTTCCCCGTAGTTTCGAACAGTGTGCATCGTGTCGCAAACGAGAGACGGTTCCTTCGAAGAGAACGGGAGTTCTTCGGGAGTGCTCGCCTCTCCGTGGTAAGCAGGGTTTACGTGCCACCGGCGTGGAAGCAGTCGTCATTTCAAGATCGTGAACCTCGTCCGTTATTAACGAAGATAATCGAAGAATGTTCCAGTGAGATTGTACTCGTCGATCGTTCGTAGAAGCTATTCAAAAGAAATTTGTCAAAGCTTTACTTATTCACTGCCACGGGAAAGAATATAAGTAGCGTCTACGGTAAATTAATTTCGACGGAATCGTCTTGTATTTTAGATAAAAATCGGCGCTTATATATTCCGTCGGACGAGTTCCCGATCTTCAAGCTCCGAGGCCACGCTCCGACGTCGGTGGTGAAAAAATGCGGCGAGGTCCGACAATACGTTTGTACATATTATTAACCGCTGTAACGTTCGCGCGCGTGTCTGTCGTCATACATATCCGTGTCCTGAATCTGTATATATATTATATATTGAAATTCACGCCAACGTTGCGATTCGTGAAATCAACGAGAATACGATTGGTGGCTCGTTCCTCGACCGTTAGGCCCCGAACGGTAATCTTTCGAGATATCGGTGTTCCTTTATAATAACAATATTAATGTAATCTTATTAAAATTATTAAGGCTAATCATTTTTAAGTAACAATTCTCAAGCCAAAGTTATATTCTCCGTATAATAAAGCGAGAAACAAAGAAAATTAAAACTGTTAACTCTATAAGACAGGCGCCACTCGAATCCACTAGTCCTATCACAGAATTCGGGGCAACGATTTTACTTTTAACAATTTTTACGAATGGACACTAAACTATTTTATATTTACGAAGAAATGAACGATACGGGGGCGGGGGGAACGTTCGTCTTGCTCGCTGGTTTTCGTTTGGTCAGCGATCAAATTGTCATACGAGCCGCGACGCTGGTGACTTGAACGCGTGGTCGAACGAAAACCGTCGTCGAACGAGCTCACGTCTCGTATTCTCCGTGAGACGTCTTTTGGGCAGACACACGAAGGTTTAGCTCTTGTAGATACGTGCGGTATGTGTACGCAACATAATTATACATATATAGCGCATGTACGTTTATTACGGGTCGAATAAACACGCGTCCAAGAGGCTGGAGAGTTCGCGCGATTCTCTGCAAATTTTCGACGACGTAATACGTTTTTACAACCCTAATCGAGGCTCAAGAGTTCCAAGAGAGGCTATAAAGACACCCCCGTGTCGGGAGCGTGAACTCTCCGAATTTTGGGCGTGTAACATCGACCCTTACCAATGTGGTGAACTCCCGGTGACTAATTAAAGGCTATGATGTTAAGTGAGAATTGTGTGTGTGTGTGTGTGTGTGTGTGTGTGATTGAGTGTATGTGTATACGCGTACACAGAGAAATTGCGCGCAGAAGCCGACGGACACACGCGTCGGAGATATGCATGTATAAATATACATATTATATATAGATATATATAAATGTATATAAAGTAAAGCGTGTTGTAAATAATAGAGGGAATCGATATAGCGAGCGGCAATTACCGAATCCGCGGCGGTTGTGTTGCCGTAGCGATCATTTCATATTATTACGACCGATAATTATTAAGTATTCTTAATTGGTAGGTATCATCGAGCGACGCTGGGTGTCGAGACCGGAAGTCGAAGGGGGTTGAGAGTGAAAAAATTCTCATTTTAACGTTGTAGATAGTCTCCGAATCCTTTCCCTGTTCTTTTCTTTTTTTCTCTTTTTTAGTACGAAATAATGATCACGCACCACTGCAGATACTTAAGTTTCATCAGATCGCGCGCTTATTTACCGTTCATAAATAGATCGAATGTAATGTTTTTTTTTTTGTAATTAAAATTCGAGACATTCGGCTTTCGAACCCCCCCCCCCCCTCCCCCCTCCAGACTTTATCGTCGAAAATATCAGCGCGTTTCAACCGTGTACATTTGTTGCGTGATTTTTCCACCCTTCTTTTTTTCTTTAAATGTATACATATATACACTGCGTCGAGCGTGCGTTGTTGAGTCGGAAATGTATGTGCGTATCCTCTACCGATGTATGTATATATGTATATTTGATATTATATTATATGTAATTTTCTACGGAAGCTAGATCGACGCGACACGATATATTACAATATATATATTTTCCCGTATTTTAATATATTCTGCTCGCGCGATTATATATAATATAATATACGCGCATGTATGTGTGATGCGAACGCGTACGAGACCCGGATCTCATATCGATCAAGCACGCGTCCTATCGTTCGATCAATCGTGTCCTCCACTTTCTGTATCCCCGTGCACAAGTACGACCGCGTTATCATCGCCCATTTTCCTCGACCTCCTATCATCCCCTCCGCCCCATCCCCCTCATTTACTTCGTTTTTACTTCGAACATTAACTTCCTGAGTCGTGGACCAAGCTGTAGCGAAACAAAAGCGCGAACGAGAGCAAATGAGAGAGAACGTGATAGACAAACAGAGAGAGAAAGAGAGAGAGAGAAAGCGAGAGAGAATCTGAGTTGAACACGAAAACAAAGCGATACGAGAAAGAAAAAAAGAGTTCCTAGAGTACCCGTGTCGAGTGCGTTAGACGTTTTATAGATATCACGGAAAACAAATGAGAAACGGATTAAAAGGAAAGAAAAGGTGAGAAGGTGACCAGAGAATGGAAAGAGGGACAAAGTTACGGAAATGGTGGGAGAATATTCCATATTCCTTATCCTTCTTCTCGTTTCATCTCGTATGGCGGAGATGCATAATGTTGTAGATAGAAAAAGAGTATGAGAGAAAGAGAAAAAGAAGTTAGCTAATCCCTCGCCAACCCCCGCCCCCTCTAATTGACGTGTGATTGGTTCATTGATCGCGAGCTTCGATGAGCCGGCGCATTCCGCGAGTGAATAGACACATTATTACAGTGATTATTATTATTATTATTAATTATTAATTATTATTATTAATTATTATTATTTCATTATATTTTAACTTTTATTATTTGAAAATAAAAGTACTAGACAGACTTTAGTTATTTTGGTTCCTTTGATTTCTTTTCTGTGCTCCAGTAACCCTTTTGTTTCCTTTGTTTTTCATTATGTTTCCTGGAAATAGGGTAAAAAGACGAATCGACAAAGCATGCACCACGACGATATCATTATTTCCTGATAGACGCCAAGTGCGTTCAGTTTTTGGTTTTTCTTCAAGGTGAACTGCTCGCCACGTGTCACCGGCGAAAATGCACGAGATTTTGCTCTTACCGTCCCAATCGCGTTCTTTCTGTATATACGTTGGCTATTAACGTAGAAGATATATGAAAACGAAATCGAAACCGCGACCGAGTGAGCAGGTGAAAAAAAAACGGCTGCACGACGCGACGAAAACGAGGCCACCAACGCAGGTATACCGTGTTAGGCATCTAATCAATCACGTAGAAGTGTATAGTTGTCTTCTGAGAGGAATCTAGCGTTACTATAGGGATCTACTAACGAATTCGATGTGTAACTGATAAATTATGGGACGCTAGCGTCGTTCGACTCGATGCGTAGGAATAACGATTAATTGATAAAGAAAAAAAAGATTACCATTAACGATAGTATTATTAAGTACGAACCAGATAAACGTTAGGTGAAAGAAAAAGAGGAGCACGGTATGACAGTTCTTAAAATGGAAATAGTAATTCTAATAGTAGAGTCGCGAGGTACGGGAAGGGACCCCCGTTCGACGACAAAGACGTCTAAACTATTTTGTACCATGAATTAGTAGCGGTTGTCGCGAGCTACGCGATCTTTTTAAGTATACATCCCGCGATCGCGAGTGATTTAATATCGCAGAACGCGAGTACGATTAGGAATACAATTATTTGCGACGCGCGTTTCTGACGTCGGCCCTCAAGATCCTCCAAATTCACCGGAAGCCAGAGTGAGAGGGAGAGAAAATGATTGAGAGAGACAACGAGTGAGTGTGCGTGCATGGCGCTGTATAAATAAAGTCATATCAATCTCGAATAGTTCATGTTATCTAGGATACGCTATTATTACGATCATTATCACAATATGATTAATAAGAATATTGTAATTATATAATAAACTGCGTCATAGATACTTCACTGGTTAAATTTATCTCGATACTACTCTAATGTTAATGCTTCTAAATTGATATTGTGCATTAACAATTGCTGGTCATAGTGTTTTTAATAAACATTTCACTACTTTACATAAAACAGGAGTGATCAGACGGATCTGTGGCGCCATCCACGGCGAATTGCTCAAGCTACTAACCAATTACTCCCACGCTCGCTTTGTCAGATGGCGCAAGAATGCTTCTTATACGTTCAGTTTATGTACGTGTTAAATTAAATTAAAACCATAGGCATATACATATAATAGACTGTGCGGTCTTATACATATATACGGACAGTTGATGTCTTCACCAAGCGCAAGATTTGAAGTTTAATAAACGTAGATTAATAAAATGTAGTACTTCAAAAACAGAAGTCACAAGACCATTGTCAAAATCACACATAAATGTTCCCTGTTGTCACTGGGTCCCGTCAAGCACTCCTCGTGTACTTCATATTTGGTCTCACAGCGTTATATGGACAGCATTTGACTTGACCAAGCACTCGATTTGTAGCTTAAAGAACATAGATTAGCCCCCTGTCATTTACAATAACAATAAACGACCAGAACACTGTTAAAATAGCATTTAAACGCGGAATACCACTATTTTTTCGACCGGTGGCGCCACCCGTGGCAAATTGCTGAAACTCCTAGCCAAATCATACCGACAAGTGAGTGAAAATTCCTAGTGATGGAAAAATGCGAATATCTCAGTAATTAGACGCTCAAAGTTAACGTTGCTAGTCTTAAATTATTTCCCACTATTCAATGCGTCGACCCAATGCAGCAGAACTCCATAATTAGTGGAATTATTTCTACCAGTGTTGATAGTAGATATGCAGTTGTGACAGAAATAATTCTTACAATTATGGAGTGCTACGGTATTGAGTCGATGCATTGGGACATCAGGAGTAATTTGAGACTAACTGCGTTCATTCTAAGCGCCTATTTACTGAGATATTCGCATTTTTCCATCACTAGGAATTTTCACTCACTTGTCGGTACGATTTGGCTAGGAGTTTCAGCAATTTGCCACGGGTGGCGCCACCGGTCGAAAAAATAGTGGTATTCAGCGTTTAAATGCTATTTTAACAGTGTTCTGGTCGTTTATTGTTATTGTAAATGACAGAGGATTAATCTATGTTCTTTAAGCTACAAATTGAATGCTCGGTCAAGACGAAAGCTGTTAGTATAACGTTGTAAGAGTTGTTCAAAGTGAACTAAACAGGGTACGCATGACGGGATACAGTGTGAACCATTGCAAATAAATGTGATTTTAACAATGTTCTTGTAATTACTGGTTTCCAGTAGCTAGAAAGAACTAATCTACGTTGCTCAAACTTCGAATTAAATGCGTGACGAGGAAAAATGATGCCCGTTCAGCGGTGCAAATGTAATTGAAACTGATGCAAGTAGGGTTGCCGCCCCATAAGGGGCTACGGTAATACAGGCATAACTAATTTTACTAATTCAGGGGTTCTGCACTATTGGGTCCATGCATTAAGTCCGGAGGAACAATTTGAGACTAATGACGTTCATTTTAAATACTTAATTATTGAGATATTCGCATTTTTCCAACACTAGAAATTTTCACTCACCTGTCGGTATGATTTGGCTAGGAGTTTCAGCAATTTGCCACGGGTGGCGCCACCGGTCGAAAAAATAGTGGTATTCCGCGTTTAAATGCTATTTTAACAGTGTTCTGGTCGTTTATTGTTATTGTAAATGACAGAGGATTAATCTATGTTCTTTAAGCTACAAATTGAATGCTCGGTCAAGACGAAAGCTGTTAGTATAACGTTGTAAGAGTTGTTCAAAGTGAACTAAACAGGGTACGCATGACGGGATACAGTGTGAACCATTGCAAATAAATGTGATTTTAACAATGTTCTTGTAATTACTGGTTTCCAGTAGCTAGAAAGAACTAGTCTACGTTATTCAAACTTCGAATTTAATGCGTGAGGAGGAAAAATGATGCCCGTTCAGCGGTGTAAATACGATCGAAATCTGTTGCAAGTAGGGTTGCCGCCCCATAAGGAGCTACGGTAATACAAGCATAACTAATTTTACTAATTCAGGGGTTCTGCACTATTGGGTCCATGCATTAAGCCCTGAGGAACAATTTGAGACTAATGACGTTCATTTTGAGTACTTAATTACTGAGATATTCGCATTTTTCCATCACTAGGAATTTTCACTCATCTGTCGGTATGATTTGGCTAACAGTTTGAGGGAATTGCCACGGGTGGCGCCACCGGTCGAAAAAATAGTGGTATTCCGCGTTTAAATGAGATTTTAACAGTGTTCTGGTCGTTTATTGTTATTGTCAATGATAGAGGATTAATCTATGTTCTTTAAGCTACAAATTGAATGCTCGGTCAAGACGATAGCTGTTTGTATAACATTGTAAGAGTTGTTCAAAGTGAACTAAACAGGGTACGCATGAAGGGATGCACTGTCGATCGTAGCAAACAGTTATGAATTTAACAATATTCTTGTAATTACTGGTTCCGAGCTGCTAGAGAGTACTAATCTAAGTTCTTTAAACTTCGAATGTAATGCGTGACGAAGAAAAAGGATGCCCGTGGAAATAAAACAAAAGGATGCCCCTGAATCTTGGATTCAGAAATATGCCGGAAAAATTGGGGAATTTATAGGACATTTAGTGGCGGCCCCACCAGTTGGTGGCGGAAATTGGAACTAATTCCAGAACTTCTTCGATAGTTTGCGAAGACGTCACTAAAGTAAGGACTTACGATCGCAGTGAGCAAATTCACTCAAGATAAAAAAATCGCAATCACGATCGTGAATGAAATTAAATCACGACTGTGATCGTGATTCGGCGATCACTGTGTTAAAGCACCGTTAGTGATTTCGCACGCCATCTTTACTGACACTAAATTCAAGAAACATTGCCACAACAGAACGCCGAATGCGCCAACTATGAAGAATATAGGGAAATAACAAGATGACAAGCATTCGGCAATACATAGAGACTATCAGAAAAATGGCGCTCGCTGAAGTTTGCGGTCTCAATTCATTTGTTGATTTTAATGCAACACGCGAGAAAGATTACTTCTCACAAGAAATTGAAGCTTACAGCAGAAATTTCATTAACCATGTACAGCTGGCTGTACCACCATACAGAAATGTAAGTAGATTATCTAAAACATTAATATTTCACTTCTTGAGTAGCTACATTTAAATTTGCAACATCATGTGCTTACTCTTTGCAAACAATACACTATATTATACATTTCAGTATGTATATATTTAAATAGTTCTACAACCTATGATTTCTCTTTATAAATGAATATTCATGTTTTTGCAGTATAAATTAATAAAACTCGAAACTTCATTCATAGGTTAAAAGCTGATAGGCAAACTGAAATTCATGTAATTGTTAAGTATGAATTTTGTTATGTACAGCCAGCTGAAAATTTGGCCCGCCTTGCAGATGGAACTGATGAAACTGGAAAACACTTGAAGATCAAATTTGATCATGGAACTACCACATTGGGTTTCCAATACAAGGGTGGCATTATCCTTGCTGTCGATTCACGTGCAACAGGAGGACAATTCATTGGTATACTATAATAATATATATAAATAAAAAAATTTGATGAAAAAATTCTACAATCTTTTCTCATAGGTTCATCTACCATGAAGAAGATAGTTGAGATTAATAACTATCTTCTTGGAACTTTGGCTGGTGGTGCTGCTGACTGTGTCTATTGGGACCGTATATTGGCAAAGGAATGTCGTATGTATGAACTAAGAAATAGAGAACGCATTTCTATTGCAGCTGCTAGTAAGCTTCTATCAAATATGGTATATAATTACAAAGGAATGGGATTAAGTATGGGTAAGTTTGAGTTTTTTTAAGTAACTAACACTTTATCCCTTTGTGTAGACAGATAATAAAGTATTGATTAATAGGTATGATGCTTGCTGGTTGGGACAAAAGAGGACCTGGTCTGTATTACGTTGATTCAGAAGGTACTCGTACTCCAGGAAAAGTTTTCAGTGTGGGTTCTGGATCAATCTATGCATTTGGTGCATTAGACTCTGGATACCACTGGGATCTATCTGATGAAGAAGCTTATGAACTTGGCAGAAGGTCAATTTACCATGCCACCCACAGAGATGCTTACTCTGGTGGAATTGTGAGAGGTATGTACTAACTATAACAAGATATGCACACGATATATAACAAAACAAATTTCTTTTACAGTATATCACATGAAGTCAACAGGTTGGATACATATTTCTGATGAAGACTGCAAGGATCTTCACTACATGTACCAAGATCAAAAGAAACAGGGAAATAATTAGTAGAAATTATGCATTCTTGTATTCTCTCAAATGTTTTCTTTAATAAAACCAATTTTTAAAAATGGAAATGTCTGCCATGTTTATATATTTGTAACCCGTATCTAATTCTCGAAGATGCGTAGTTTAACTAATATCAATGATATTTTTTTTATATAACTAAACATCTCGAATAAATATTGGATTCAGCATTTCGCATGAACAAAGACAGGTTACACGGAACAGATAAAGAGAAAGGAACATGTCTGACAACCACCGGCCTCCCCACTGCCGTCATCTACTTATTACAGCGCCAGCCGCCATCGAGTCGTGCAAGTCAGTGTAATTGTGATTGGTGGTGCAGTGCAACAAGCGAAACGTTCCTTGAAGCGAAGCAAGCGCAATAATATTTTCGTCTATCAATCGGTGTACAGATGTCGAGTACCGACGAATGCAAGCTGAAGGGTGGACACCCTCCTGCAGGTAACGAATTAAGTCGTAATTTCTCTTCAAAGACTGGAAAAGGTTAATATATTTGCACAATCCGTTGATGACGTAGTATACACCTGCCTGGATATTTCAAGGCCACCTAATCGTTTAACTTTCTTCATTAAAAAAAACGTATACTTGTTCATATTTTTACCACAGTAAAAGCTGGCGGTATGAGAATTACTCAGCATAAAACACCAAAAGAGGATCGTGAAATGAAGCCAGTGAAAGATGCTGACGAAAGTAAACCGTCGAGTAGGTAAGCGCCGATGTCATTTGATTTACGATAACAAAATTGCGCAACGTAAAATCGAAAAACGATATAGAACCTGGAATTGATATGTTAAAAACAGTATCGTTCCTTTAATCGGTTGATAAACAACTATAACATGATAAAGATACAGACTGACCGTCAGGATAGCAACTGTTTACAGCCAATGACGCGTACGTGTAGCCTGATTCGGTACATCTGCCATACTTGCGATAAACGTCGCTATCCGTATTACGCACATAAATGAAGCAATATGGCACTGTCAAAACATGTTTTTACAAAAAAGAAAACCCTGTTATTTCGATATGAGAACAGTATTATTCAGGAGAATACTGTTTTTTTTATAATTTTTTTTAACAGAGATTACAAACTTTAATTTTATTTCAGTCCACCGAAAACCATAATGATCAGTGGTGCCCCTGCAAAGGGAAATGCAGACTTTCCTCCAGAAGCTGTGCAAAACTTCCATGAAAAGCCTATACCAACTCATGAAGCACGTCCAATTCATTGTTCGCGTCCCATCATCATCCAACAGCCCAGGAAATGAACAACATGTGGGCTTTATATCAGAGGGGCTATATTTGAAAACAGTAGCCTATACATATTAAGTTTAAAAAAAGAAAAAAAAAAGAATTATAGATATACATACATGTATGTACGTACTTAACAAGTTTCTTTGGGATATAATAATCGGCTGTGCAAACAGAATTTTCTAATACAAACACACAATCTGTTTCCCAAGAAACTGTGGTTTTCTGTAACGCGAAACGAAGTACCTCGCGAGAGTTTATTACTGTTATTAAGAGAAGAAAGAATTTATTTTTGATGCAGCGCCGCGTGATTCCTGTATCTGCATTTAGGCGAACGATCGACTCCGACTGATCGGATTATCGTCCGTACAGACGCAACTATTAAACTATTATATCTGTACCACGCTGTTATCTATTTTGTAATCACTTTATTAGACGCGTTATACTGTAGAGTACATGTAACCGTCTTCGGGACCAGAACGCATTTCAAGATGTACGACTCGAGGAACTAATATTACTCCACTTTATTTCGTTTTCGAGTTTCCCCATCCTTGTATTGTAGTCTACCTTAGATATTGTAGAAATTCGGCCGATCTCTGTAAAATTTGCAATTTAATTGTCCTGAAATCAATGTACTGTACTATCCTACGAGCATAATTGTCAACGGTGTAAATGTTGAACGAGATTCGTCACGTTGGCCACAGTTTGTATGAGACTTAAAGGAAATAAATATACGTTCTTATACGTAAATAATAATATATTTTAATCAGTTCATTCCATTCTTATACTCCGTTATTATTATGGGTTCGCTCCTTTTCATACGAAACAGTGTTTAACGTCTGGTTTTAGGAAATATTTATAAATTTTCCAGCATTTGAAAAACCGTACACGTTTCAAGGATTAGTTCCCAGACACGGTGCTTCATGTGAAAGGGTTCGTTAGGGTCTGACCGCGGTCAGGCGGTCACGCGATGTCGTTGGTAACCGTAAGTAGCATTGAACAGTGTCGTCATGGTGACTGGTATGAATTGTACAAACATAGCCGCATTGATGTGTCAAAGGCTGAATGAAAAGACTGTTCGAGTGGAGCTTCCTTCCTGATGTGTAAAGATGTGAATGCGTTACGGTCCGTGAACGCTGTTTCCGTCTGAAAATTTTCGTACGTCCAGAATCTTTCGGGTCACCGAAACCTTCCGGTTCACGAAGCCCACGACCCTGTTCAAGGTCTCGCCACGATGTCGGGGAAAAACACCACCGAGAAGGTTTTGGAGATCGACGTGCACGTCAACAAACATTATGACATCGTTCGACGTCTCGGCAAGGGGGTAATTATTTTCACTTCCACCGGATTTTTATAATTATGCCGCTTGTTCTTTAACCGGGTTTACGACCGGATGTTTCTCGGGTGGCCTCGTAATCTTTTATGTACTTGCATTCGCTGAAAGTTTTTAGTTGTTGGTAACCAATAATTAAGATCGATGGAAACACACAGAACAATAAAATTATGTTCTGTTCGTGTATGCAGCTATTTCTTAAATGTTCATTTATTAATAGTTAATGATTGAGATGTTCATATTAGTTCAGAATTTACGTTACTAATTCTATATAATTTGGAGAATGAATTTCTCTCGTTTATTTTACGAAAACATTCTAAGCAAAGTTTGTTTTATTAGTCATCGTGTATATGTGTTTATAAAAACAATGTTATTTTAACTGTTAATTAGTAAACTTTGCATCGAAGTAATCGAGTATAAAGCAGACAATGTGAAATAGAAATTGAAACGAGCTATTCAATATTTCATACGATGATAAAAGTTAATCGATAGAATACAACGAGTATTCTGGAAAACAACATAGCTATATAGATACACGATTATCAATAACAGTCGTCGTGGTACTTACTTCGCGGAAAAGTAAAACTAGAGCCAATCGATACTCGAGCAGTAAAGAGTGTACAAGCATGACAACGAGTACCGGAAGTAACCAAACGACTTATCGGTAGCTCACCCACATCTCCGCGTTAACAACAAATGCGATTCGCGGTAGAAGTTTAATGTTACAATAACTACATACGGTTCACGGTGTCGTTGACATTGTCGTTCTCGCAGGCCTACGGTATAGTGTGGAAGGCGATAGACAAGAAAAACAAGGAGACGGTCGCGGTGAAGAAGATCTTCGACGCTTTCCGAAACCAGACGGACGCGCAGCGCACGTTCCGCGAGATAATGTTCCTATTGTCGTTCGCCAATCACGAGAACATCATACGACTGATCGGTCTGCACAAGGCGAACAACGACCGGGACATTTATCTCGTGTTCGAGTACATGGGTGAGTTTTACCCGGTCCGAAGAAGAATTCACGAAGGTCACGTGCCACGGACGATTCTCAGACTTTTGGCCTGAAACACGTTTCGGCCCGTTTCCCCAGAAACCGATCTACACAACGTCATTAAGAAGGGCAACCTCCTCAAGGACATCCACAAGGTCTTCATCATGTATCAGCTGTTTAAGGCGATCAAATACATTCATTCCGGGAACGTGATACACAGGGACCTGAAGGTAAAACTCGCAGACGCATTCTCCTCCTCCCTTCTTTTTTTTCCCCACCTGGAAAAATGAATATTTTTTTTTGTTGACAATGATCGTTTTGTTCTTCTTTTATCATGAACCCCTCAGCCGTCGAACGTTCTGCTGAACGCTCAGTGCCACTGTAAAATCGCCGACTTCGGTCTGGCACGATCGGTCACCCAGATTGGCGAAGGGGATGGTGAAACCGGCAGCGATCCCACCCTTACGGATTACGTCGCGACCCGTTGGTATCGAGCCCCGGAAATACTCGTCGCTTCGAAAAGGTATTCCACCGAATCTCGATATAGCGTTCGAATTTCAGACAATGTTTGACGGTTCTCTTGGCTACTGACGTAACTTAGGTACACAAAGGGTATCGATATGTGGTCCCTGGGATGCATTCTCGGTGAGATGCTTCTCGGTAAACCGCTGTTTCCTGGTTCCTCGACGATCAACCAGGTGGAACGAATAATGGGTACCCTCCCGTTGCCCACCAAAGAAGGTAATGCCCGTCGACGATACGTTTCACGGACGCGAAAGGATCGCATCAAACGTTCGCCCCTCTTCGGTCACTTTTTGCTTCCAGATCTGATGTCGGTTTGCGCTGGCTACGGAACTAATTTGCTGGAGAAAACTCCGAATGGACCGCGACGATCGTTGAAAGATCTACTGCCCAATGTGTCCGAGAAGGCGTTGGATCTTATCAGTAACCTGATAGTGTTCAACCCCAACCGTAGGTTAACAGCTGTGGAGTCGTTGGAGCACCCTTACGTTGCCAAGTGCGTACATCCTTCAAATTGATTTATCTATGCAAACAAAAAGATCCAACGATTCTTTTCTTAAAACTTACCATAGAATTCCTCTACTTACGTAGATGATTGGTTCAGTTTAATACACTTCCAGCAATATATCCGTTCACACGATAATTATTAACATAATTCAAGGAAGGATAATATAGATTCCTCATGTTTTTCAATGATCTTTACAGTTTTCATAGACGAAGCAACGAACCGGAACGAGGATCGAGCGTGGTCCCGTTACTCAGAGACGACGTACAGCTATCCGTCGACGAGTACAGAAACAAGCTTTATTCGATGATGGACGAGAAGCATCGAAAGCACAAGAACATGTGGGTAAATTCGCGCGGGTTATACCGACGATTAATCGATCCGTATCTAAAATAAAAATCGACGAACACGTCGACAGGTCCAAGTCCAGAATCAGACGACTCTCGGAGCACATCAGGAAGGAAACCGCTGTCAACAATTCCAACCCCGTCATCGGACAAGGTGACGCGACTGTCGGGAAAAATCTTACGCACTCGTACCAAGATTTACGCAAAGGGAGAGGCAGAAATGACGTCTACGAGCCTTCCTGTTACGATGGTGAAACACAAAAAAAAAAAAAAAGAAAACAATGCCGCGATGGAAACGATCGATCGATGATACCATTAAATATTTCGTTTCCTCTAGCACGTGCGCAGTTAGCCAGCAGAAAAACGACAAGGCAACCGCAAATTGATAGCGGCGAGAGAATCACAAAAACTAGAACGATAAGCACATCAATGGAGCCACATACGCAAAGCACACTCGACAAGAGTCTTCGACCAACTGGTAATTATCGAAGCGACACTGAAAAGGGACGAACCTCAACTGTCCGACTTCGACCTTAATATGATTTTGTAAGAAGGTAGTATACAGGATTCCTAATGAAACGTGTGAAATATTAGATGTAGACACTCGATAATTTTAAAGATATAAATAATTGCATGGGCAAAGTGAAACGTAAATATTTCGGTGAAAGGGAATCGATCCTTGGATCTTCGATTTACCAGGCAAACAACATTGTATTCATAATACATCTTAAAAGTATTTAACTTGGATTGTTTATATCTTGAAAATTATCAAATTTCTACACTTAATATTTTTCACAATATTAGTAGGAACCTGTATGCTGCTATCTTACAAAACACCGGTAAAATCGGAAGTCGGATAGTTGGAGTCCTTCCTTTGTAAATAATATTCACGCGATTACCGTTTACGTTGAACTAAGTTAAAATTTCTTAACATCCGGCAGCGAAAAGCGTGGCGACCCAGTACACGTACGGTCTAACGAACGGCGGTGGGAACAACAACTTGACGCCCGGCACGACTAAAAGTTGTCTGTACATCAACCAACAGCACCGGCCGCTGTCCAAATCTCAGCGATCCATGCAGTCGGACCATGTGACGATGGTAAGGTAGTTAATCGCCACGCTTTCCTTTATACTACTTCGCCAATCGTCTGCGCGGTAAATACTTGAATATTCGTCGTCCTCTTCGGTTAAGAGTAAACGGACGATTCTATCGTTACAGGCTACGTGTCGCGTGGGATTCCTTTAGGTACTGTAAACATTCCACAGTTCATGCTTCTCGCACACGAGAGCCACGTGCTTTCTTTTCCTCCACGTTCACCACACCTCTCTAGCTCGCGCTTTCTTTATCGACGTACATACATAGGTTGTTCCATAATTTTATTGTCGTACGGTGCTGATAGAAAGATCAGAAAAATTTCAGTAAACTAACGCGTTAGGTTTATACCTGAAAAGGGTATAGGCCTATTCGACGGTACGAAGGAAATTTTTCTACCCCTTCTACTAGCCCGTACGTCAAAAAAAAAAAAATTATGGGAACAACCTATGCATAAACGGAAACTTAACAATTTCAGTGCTCGCCCGGTGGAAGGTCAGGCCAGTCGGCGCAATTCAATCGGACGAAGCCGCGAAAAGACAGCATCAAACAGACGGTCTATACGCCCGCTCGTTTCACAACGGACGCGAATTGGCGCGAAGAAAATAATCGACAGAAGGTCCCGTTCACTCGCGACAGCCCGAAAAGTAATCTCCAGGCGAAATATTTCGCGGGTGGCACGCCGGATAGCACGGCCAGTTACTATCTCCGATCCAGCAACAGCAGCAACGTCAAAAGCACCAACAGCAACACGAACAGCGCGGAATCGTACGCCTCGCGGCCGACCACCTCGAAGAATCAAGCTATCCGGAATTACTTGAACCAAATGATGCCATCGCGTGTAGTCGAACAATCCCCGTTTCCTTGTCGAACGCGAAACAATATGGATCATCGAACGATCCAACGAAGTAACGCCGGTAATCCTGATCGACTACAGCCGCCCGATTGCACGTTGCCAGGAACGAATCGGCCGAGGACCGCTGCGCTGAATCGCAGCCATATCGCGAAAGTACAATCGAGACACATCGTCGACGGAAACGCCGAAAAGAAATCGAGCCCCTTGTTACGTGACACGAATTTCCTAGATAATTATAGCCAGAACCACGGAGTGATCACCGCGTCCGCGTACAAGGATCTACGAAACGGTACGATAAGATGGTAAAATATCGGCGGGAGGGCTTCCGAAGAAAAAGAACGCGACAGCCTCTCCACCGAGGGTATCCCACCGACGGTTCGGAGGAAAAATATTTTTATACGATTCTTTCTGTCGTGTAGCTTTAGGTAAGAGACTTTTTTCCCACATCTTCGTAGGTCGACCCGTAAATCGATCCTCATTAAGTCAATATTGAAAAAGTAAACTAGAATCGATATCGTTTCTCTGTCCTACGCGTGTGCAAAGTATTGAAAAGTATCCGTTTAAGGTATCTCGTGGTGTTTTGTGGTAAATTTGTATGTACAAACGTAATTAGGGGGACTGACGATGGCCGTTCTTTTTCTCGCGAGCCACTCCTTCTTGTGCCACCAGTCACAAATGTTCCTACGCGAAAAATTCACAAGAATAGTCCCTTATACGTGTGTGTATCAGGGCGGTCGATATCCCGCGATCCCACCGGAGGAGTATATACTGATTGTCCGTGGCGGAAGCATCGCGAACAATAGGCAAACAAATATAAACGATCCCCGCGGCGTGTGGGTACGTTAAAGCGCCGTTAGGTAAGACGAATCTATGCGAGCTACGATCTTTTTATAACCTTAGGATATAAGGATCGACGAACGGGAGGAAAGGAGTAATCGAATAAAGATTCAATCACACCAATTTCGTTAAACTGACTATCTGTATCTTCACTGTATCCCCGGTTTCGCTGGTGAAATCACAAAAGACTTGATCCGAGGGACCGATAATTGTCCCGTTTGAACTTTAACGAAGGCTTTGAGGACGCAGCCCGAGGAACAAATTTACCCGCGAGTATAGAAGACGAAGACCAACGGATGAGAGGTCTGAATAGTGTAGGGATACGTCGATTTCGTTGCTGTGTTCGAAAAACTATCGCTGCCCCCGTCTTCGAGGAGCAAGAAATCAATTCCACTTCGTTGTCTTCTTTATTCATCGACGATAGAAGACCGATAAATATTTACAATAAAGGAGTCATCTCCGATTTCGATGATTTTTTAATATCCTGTCAGGGTCATCCATTCCGAGTAGTGTAATACCTTTTTTTTCAAACGGCGACCCCCAACTAAAACCTTCGCAACACTACTCAGGGTAATGATCTTGACAACCTATTGAAAAATCATCTAAATCAGAGACTACCTTATTGCAAGTATTTACCGAATTTCTCTGTAATACACTCTTATTCCGAAACCTTTACGCGAGCACGCGATAATGTACTAATTCCTATGTATTACTTGTCGCGGAATAAATTTTTGCTAAAAGGAAATCCGTCTCTCAACGCTCACCGATCGAAAAGCACCGTAAAGAGATTGCCTCCTATCGCGAGGCAGCTACTCCTGTCCCGTGCCTTTTGCCTCCCGGAACGAGAGACAGTCGTGTTTTCCATTTTCCATTCCCGATGACGTAATCTGTGTTCCCGATGCAGGTCCCCCTTCGGTAGGTGCGTGGAAAGGATTGCTGATAGAAACGTTGCTACGAGAACGTAAATAAATAAACTGTAAAATACACAAAAACGAAACTAATAACAAATATAATAACAGAGTTCGCAGCAGCTGACGAAATTCCCTTCTGAGAAATTACGGTTTTCGTGGTTACACGCGATTCCACGAATCGCCATAAATCACGAGCTCGCTTTCCGCGACAGGCTTTTTATAGGGTCGAATGATATTTACCCGGTACACACGGATCGATACGGACGTTTTCATAAAAACACAATGGTCCCGTTCCGTTCGATGTTCATTGGGCGCGTGTTGTTTCGAGGGTAGAATCGAATATACATTCCTGCGAAGTATATATCGTAATCGTCGCGTTAACACCCCTATTCTGAAGTCGATGGCACTTATCGATCGATACGATACGGTTTTCAACCCCCGAATGTAATACGGTAATGTGCTCGAACCGAGTCTAAATTTAAGTTACAATCCACCGAATGAATTTTCTTAGATGACAGTGACATCGATCGAATCGATATTGGTCCGTCTTCGTGAATAAAAATAATGCTGATTTTCCATTATGCATCGTCGAGGTCAGAATTCAGAGCGTTCCAGATGCTGAAACAACGATGGGACATTTATAGAATTTCTGATTGTTTTGAAATCCTACCTAATTACACGATGATCCTCCATCTACCTCTTCGTGATGGTTTCCCTTCCTGGCGGTGCAATTCCCTTTATGGCCATTTCTATATCGAGATCAATTCCATTCAAATTTAATTGAGCACGATAATACCGCCGACGACGTCAATCGGCGGGACGAAAGCGTCCGCTTGACAGCGAACAAATATTTACGAAACATCAACGACTACGTTCACCCCCGTTCCAGTTGCGTCGTCGTCGTCGTCGTCGTGCCTGGCTGACGTGACTCCTTCTCCGCCCTTACATCAAGAATTCCTTCAGCAGCAGTTGAATCGGGCGAAGTACGAACAACAAGTGTAATAGCGGACACCGTAGTCGCGACTACTGGTACTTGTTCGACACTTCGTTGTGACTGTAGTTGACTCCGCGCCAAGCCCATTGTGTGCCTATGTCTGTCAGTAAACTTACCTTTTCCCCCAGATGAGAAACAAATGCAATCAACATCCTCCAAGGATAAATCTCTCCCCTCCAACGTCAGCTACACTCGAACCGGGAAGTACACGGTCCCCTTCCGAATCGAATTATTCGAAGTCGATCCACAAACGAAATAAGAGAAAACAACAGAAGACGTTACCGCTCCTTCCGTCAAATCCCATTACTCTTCATCGCCAAGAATTTGTCGACGAAGGCCGCAAACAAGCCAATCCACAAACGAAATAAGAGAAAACAACAGAAGACGTTACCGCTCCTTCCGTCAAATCCCATTACTTTTCATCGCCAAGAATTTGTCGACGAAGGCTGCAAACAAGCCAACAAGGGAAACCGCGGACCAAGAGAAATCGTTCGCTCAGATTATTATTCTTGGATCTTCAAACATTTAATATAGAGTAAATCATCAATGAGTGTTCGAAAGTTCCTCGGCATTGAACATTGAATATTTCATAAACTAATGGCTATACGCGACGGAAACAAACATCATTGGCTTCAGAATTCAGTGTTACCACCTGGGAACCTTGTCAGTGTCGAGAAGCCTCCGAACACTCATCGATGATATACTGTATTCGAGGGCTACACCCGTGATCTTTAATTCCCGTTGTTTATGTACATCGAATGCGTGAGAACACTAAATTCACAATGTCTATAGCGAAAATCTCGATCAGCCTGCGACCAATTCGTTCAAGAACGTTGATCGTCCGTGGTGACCAATATGTTGACACGAGGTTGACCGGCTTCCGGGTCGTTCTTCTCGTAACAGGTTTTCTGATTCCGTTTGACCGTGCTTGGAACCCGTTCGATCGGGGTTTGAGGCCTTCCACGAAGGCTGCGCAGCATGTAGCATCGACGATGAAGACTGTGCTTGCTGTAGACACTTTCGTATCCGCTGCTCGACGTCGCCGTTCGCCGTAACGCCAGAACCGCGTGATGACCAGCGCCGATCGGCAGACCGCATCCACATCCGGTCGACATTCGTCGTTTGCGTAGCAATCCACGTCTCACCGAGCCGCCGGCAGTACTGCACCCTGCGCACACGTCATCGATCACGGCGGTTCCTTGAACACTCTGAAACAGTACGTCAGAACCGAACCGATATGGTGTAGGACGTGAAACACCTTTTAAAATTATTGCTCTCTAACCCCGTCCACCCTTGATTATGAACGTTTGGAGACAGGTTTGGAACGATCATAATGGTTGGATCACTAGCGACGATTCCCATGTGGATCACTAGTTACGAAAGGGAAGCTTCTTGGAAGCAAACTATAAGGGCTCGGAGTGCAAAGTGTTGAAATATTCTTTTACTTCATTTTAGGAGAACTACAGGAAGTTAAAGTTGCGATTAAACTATTTATAAAAGATTGTCGAAGAATCTCCACGAGAATCCACGCGACAGATCCGAAAGCAACAACTTTATGCTGATCCAAGAACTACTGGAGCCTGGCATTAGGTGCTAAACGATACATCGACTGATTCGTTCTCTCGAAAGCAACGATTTTAATATCGGTGGCGCACATTGGCCAATTTGGACCTCGTGATGCGCCAGTTACGTAACGTCTGTCACGCACCGGCTATAATTCCACGGACGTACGCGAGGAATTCATATTAGGGGTTTTGATGGAATCGCGGATACACTCGGGTCCCTGGTGTTGACGGTAAATTGCGGTTTACGGTGCGTCATATAAATTCCAAGAACGACTCGGGGAAAGCATAAGGGTTTCCCCGTGGTTTTCGAAAATCGCGATGACAATGCCAGAGGCTCCGTATCTGACGCGGACCCTCTCGATTCCACGCCCCTTTCTAGTGGGATCGGCGAGCATGTTAAACTCCAACGCACGGAACATCGAAACGAACCCAGGAAACTCCACATCCTTTCGAATGAAACTGCGAGGCTTTCTGCGAGATACGTGTATTCTAGATTTTTAGCGGATATCGAACATGGAACATTAAAAAAAAAAAAGAAGGAAAGAAGCTCGTTGGTTCGACAAGGTTTTAATATCCTTCTATCGTTCGTTGTTTAACGGACCGTAGCTTGTCACTCGCAGCCACGGAACATATCGAATTATACTCGTTCGGAGGTCGAGCTCTTGCACCTGTTCTCAGTGAATGACATATCGATACTTCGAGGATTACGTGGAAGAGTCGTTATTTAATAATTACTCTATGGTGAGTCGGTAGGAAATACTATCTAAAATAACTCGTTGCCTATTGATTGTATCAGAAAACGTTTTAATAAAATATATAGAATTTTAAAGGGCGTATCGGAGAGATATAATTTAATTTCATTATGTCTAAAAGAAATAAGATATAAGGAAATCAAATTGGATCCATCCGATGCGTGCCTTAAAATGCTACACAATTCGTTAGAACGTTTTTTGATACAACCAATAGGTAACGAGTTATTTTAGATAGTAGTTCCTACTGACTCACCCTGTATATAAATTTATGACCGTACCAGGTGCTGTTTTTATTCTGTTTGTGGAGGCACCTCCCATACTCGCCACGAGAGTGCTTCTGAGTCAATACATTTCTCGCAATACCTTTAACCGAACATGGACTATCTCCGTGTCTAAGGCAGAGTTTGCTAGGTATAGCCTTATTGCGAGTCCACTAGCAGGGGCACAGGAAGAAACGATTCCTTTTCTTTCCTTTTCTTTCCTTTTCACACCTTTCATTTCAACCGCCGCATACTTGTCTGACCGGGAACGAGTTCTACTTCACGTGTCTGATCGGAACGAACCTATTCCACTTACTTGGTAAGCACGAGCAGGGTGGACTTGGGACAAACGTAACAAGGAACGAATGTAATAACTGTTATAAAACAAACTTCAATCGGCAAATAATCGTTTCGTTCCATCTTTATACAACCAATTCCATACAAAAGTAACAAATGAGTCACTTTAAAGGAAGTCTTATTTGAAAAAGCTGGTATAATATATTCCAAGTTTGTAGATTCGATTATGTTGTTTAATAATTAAAGTTTGTCATCGTATACGAAGTTTTAAAAAATGCTACAGAATTTACAAGTTATAGAATCAGAAAGACAAATTGCGATTTTCTTGAACTCTACAGTCGTTGTAATCAATTGTTACCAGTTTTCCAGAAACCAAAAGAGAAATTCTGTATTTATCGTAACTCTACATTTACACTGAAAGGTAAATATCAAATACCAGCAAAATAGTGTTTCACTTGGACACAAAGAAAACGACTAATATTCATGTATATTAAATCCCCTATTGAAATCATCACACCATAAGTAGTCTGAGTCGATGTTACAAAAGCAAGGGGTTAATTTCGCGAGTAAAAGCTGGACTTTACAAGATTTTCAAGTGTCCAACTCGATATCAAATACATTCGTCATCAATGGAGTTCCTGCCGAGGGTGAGAAAAGCGGTGGTGGTCAGCGGCAAATGGTGCGGGGTGGGTTCGAAAACTCCGTGACTCGATACAAATGCTACGGAAAGCCCTCGTGTACGGTTCGTTACGGAATGTTTGCCTAGAACACACGTTCATCAAAGCTTATCCACAATTTAATTACGATTACACAGCAAAATTGACTCCTTTGATAAACTAATATTACAAGCGTAACCGTTTCCCCCGAAATATCCCTTGATTAAATAAACACCGTTTTCCCACTTGAAAAAAACAATCTATGGAAATAGGGTCGAAGGATATAACGGATCAAGCCAGGTAGGCAATCACGAGGGAGCATCACGAAAATACTCCTCCACGGTACTAAGAACTGGATGGCCAGTTTTTACCTTGTTTTCCCTTCCACGGTGGCGCAGTCGAAAGAAAACGATCCTCCGCAAAAAATTACTACACAACCACCCAACGATCTACACACAGACATGTGTCCCACCACTGACAACTTACTCTGCGACGTGGTCTCCGACGCGCCAGCCCGTGGGGACCACCCTGACAAAGGATCTCGGCGACGCTACGCCGAAAATTTCGTGTCATGAAGCAGTAGACGACAGGATTCAGGGCGCTGTTCGCGTGTCCCAGAAACAGGCAATAGGACACTGCATCGGTGGTCTCCATCCCGTCCCCTGCGAACAATTATATCGTGGAAGCCTTTTATATTTTCAGGTGTGAAGTTTCGAGTCGAGGGAGAGATACGGTGAGCCGTATGATCGTACTCTTTTCAGTGGAGTGACCCGACGAGAAGCCAAACTGGACACCACTCGGAGTTAGACCACACATTTACACCCACTTCTCGGTCGGGGCAAGTCAGGGGACACGGATATATATATTAAATTATTGACCCCTTGACGGTCTTGCGGTTACGGTCTTGGTTTTATATGTTCCGACCGGAGCTTTCGGTAGTGTACACGGGAATTCAATTAACCCGCGGCAGGGCGGTGCCTCCAGATCCATATGTAGCCGAGTTTTTAAAAGCTCCGTGTAACTTATCTACCTATGAATCGTATTTAAGCTAGCAGTTGTTCGTATTAAGTCATATAAAAAAACAGGTCATCTTGAGCGATTGCGTTCGTGAAATAACGTTTCAAAAGTGGGAAGTATTAGGGGTGCAAACGGGCCCAAGCGCCGCTGCTGTGTACGAACATTAACACGTTAAACGAAGAGCTAATTTTACTTTCCATTTAGGCGAATACATATACCTAGGAATTGTACCAAGAAGGTCGTAACTATTGTAATACTTATAAAGGAAACACCTCATTTTTGTTTGAAATCTATTAAAAATATGTAAACATATTTTTTTAGTATTAAATGAAATATTATTTTTCAAATTTGATAATGTCCGTAATGTCTGTAAAACAAAAAACATATTCGTAATTTCGCAAAGCGTTAAAAGGCGCACAAGCGACCGAATCGCGTCATTCGATTTTTCGTCAATGGGCGTAAGCACTCACCGACTGCGCCAAAGTCGATCAGCAGCATTAGAACGTTGTACGGCAGCCAGCAAAGAGCAAAGAGCACCGCCAGAAGCAGCAATATCCAAGCGATTCGCTTTCTCTCACGTACCAGACGGAAGCTCTGCGAACAGCGAATGCGATTGCACGAGCGGCTGTAAACGGCGGCCGAATTTAGGATCAAGATCGGAAATTTACCGTACCTAATCGTTGCGTCTGCGAATAGGGGGAAGGGGTGACGGCTGACGGATATCAGTGGTTCCCACGGTGCGGGAATCCGTGAAATGAAAATTTACCGAGCCGAAACACGCGTTTGTTAAACGGAAGCAGAGCTGCGAGGAAAATTAAATACACAAACCAGTGGTGTAACAAAAAAATAAATAAAAAGAGAGATTTTGCGTGGGCGAACGGTGGAAGTTCGACCCCTTCCCCCGTGGGAAAATTAGGAATTACGTAGGCAGTTGTGGCTAGGGATGAACAGATCCATGTACATATAAATAAATAATCGATATTTTCGTTTCGATACCGAGTATTTGCGATACTAAGTAGATATCGATACATTTGGCCGCTGCAAATTATAAGTAAAAATATCGGTATCTTGACGGTATCGGTTTATCCCTAGTTGTGGCGTTTTCCATAGGCGAATTCAAGTTACGGTAAATCCTCGATGAGTGTTCGAAGGCTCCTTGACACTAACAAGGAAATATCTCCAAGTGTAACGCTAACTTCTGATATTTGTTTCAGCCACTCAAATGATCATTAGTTTATAAAATATTTAATGTTCAATGCCGAGGAACCTTTAAACACTCATCGAGGATTTACTGTATATGTAAACATCGTCCAGACACAGTCCTGTGTAATCGGTGTTCGTAAATCGGTGACACATTTCTCGATACGATTCAGTTTGAAATTTCGTGTAAACTGATTTAAAAGAAATCTCTTGAGATTATCAGGGAAGTTTCGTAACGTTATGGGAGTTTGAGACCAACCTGTTGCGAACTCGCGCTTCCTTCGACGCTGTCGGAATCGAACGGCGGTGTCCGGGCGCACAATGTTCTGCCCATCATCGAGTAGGACAGTATCACGACGAAACCTAGGTGAAAACGATGAGGCCCGTTTACAAGTTTAAATACATCAATGAACTGAGTTATACTTTATTTGTGGCCCATCTCGAAACGTTCTAATAGTTTACTCAAACTGATTTATGCATTCATATTAATGCAAACATTAATTTTATCGATTTTTATTCATTTTCATCAAGACTTTCCATTCTAAGAAAATATACGACATATTACTGAACACGTTGACTGCCACAGTGAAAAAGGCAGTATGTAGTCAGACACGCTTTATTTCTGTTTTTTAACTCATAAATGTTCGAAATAAATGTGTTTATCGAATAGAAGCTGTTGGTCCTGTTTTAAATCATACCGCGATATTAATTGTAAAACTTTTCCAATGGTATTTAAATAATCCAGTCTGTTTGCAATATGTCATCAATGTAAAAAATTCAAATAACCGCGCAAGGTAGACTGAATATATAACGCACAAGTACAGTTTGCACAAATTATTCGACCGTATGAAGAACAGAGATATGGATAAGGTCAGGTGAACTGTTCGATCCATTTCGGTAAGACTTGTGATGAATGGAGCAGCCATGGTGTTTTGGCCAATGGGATTACATGCGCCCACATATTTGACCTGGGCGTTTAACCGCACGTCCCGCGCGATGTGAGAAGGATGACATGGAAATGTTACGGTTAAAGATTACGGGTGTAACGATTAATCACAGACACAGGGCTTACCAGGGATCGCGTATACCAACAGGAAACAGACAGCCCCGAAAAGATGCGCGTGAATGCCCAGAGGCTTGAAATCCTCGTAGCAAATGGAGAAGGCAGGTGGCAACCGTGAGATATTCTGTGAAAAATTCCCCATCGCCGTCCAGGATTCGAGGAGCGGTATGTTACCGAGTTCCCGGCCGGGGCTCTTGAGGGTCATCTAGCAAAAAGATTGGACACGGTTCATCCGTCGAACTGTCTTTCCCAGGAACGCAAATCTCGCCGGGGGTAAAGATTTATTCCCAGTGCAAAACTTTCTTCGGCCACTGGCGATGTCTTCCGTTCTACTTATCGTTTGCGCGCGCGAGGATATGTATAGGAAACATTTGGAATTATTGACACAGACATCTGTGCGTCACGGAGAATGAAAAATCGAAGGTAGAGGTTGGAACAACGTGGAATTATCATTTTCTAACGTTTCGATGAAAATAATGTCAGCTGTTTTTAATCGTGCTACGGTCCTCGGTTCGAAAATAATCACGTGGAGGGAGAAAAATAAAAATTATTATTCTATATGTGACGTATACGTCACACTGGCGTTAAAGGGTCAAGAACACATTTCTGAAGAGACGAAATCAAGGATAAGTCGAAAAAGTGTGCAAAGTCGTGACAGCGTTGAAGAAACGTGATTGGATCGACGTACACCCGAAGACCATAGCAGAGTTAAGTGTGTTATACAGGAACCGTTCATAAATATTCCAAAGATTTATCGTAACCTTGAAAGCTTGTTTCTTATAGAGCACAGTAACCGAGGAAGAATCATATTTTCATCAGGATAATGGAAATTATTGGTGCGGCCGGCCCAGAAAGGGGAATAATGGAAGGTTACACGAACCGATGAATACAAGGATACACGTTTGCTTTCAACAGTATAAGCCACGGGCACAATTAACCCATAATTCGATCAAAAATAGCAGAATCATACAAAAAGATTCACCGTCTTATATTCAACGTGTCACGCCGCGCACATCCCCGAGGGTACGTGAGTGAAATGTCGGAAAGGGAGGGGGGCGGAGGATTTATTTTTCAACAAGACAACGATCCCACGCACACGTGTCTAACTTATGTCAGCCATATCTGAAGCAATGGGTGGGAGGGCTGATGGCATTTCTTCTCGCAAGAATGATACGGTCTGACCTTAATTCAACCCATCCACCATCTCCCACGAAAGGAGAGAGCAAAAAAACAAGGGAACAGCGAAACTTTTACTTTATCCTTTCGAGAGGAAAGAAAAAGAAGTGAAAAATCTCGTGTAACCAGCTACACATAACTATTATTTTTTTCGCAGAAATTCCACGGCCTCTCCTTTCCCTGGAAGACGTTTGAATATTTATGAGCGGTTTGCTGAAATGTTCTAAGGGAGCGTTTATCATGAAAAATGCACGGTGATGTATGCCATCGCGACGATATTACGTTAACCTTGGATTTTCATACTAACCACTCTCCAGACGGGAGCAAAGATGATTAAAGCGACCAACCAAAGGGCCACGATAACGAGGACGGTGCTCTTGCGATTGAATACACGTCGAAACGCTATAGGGCTCCTTATCGCCAGGTATCTGTCGATGCTCATCGCGGTAATGGTGAAAACCGAAGCGGCTACGGCAACACCTACACATAAACGCTTTTTCGGTTATGATCATAGCCATACAGGGCTACTCATCGTCTAATCTTTTTAAACCATTATCGACGGTGACTCCATTACCACCAGTCGAGATATTTACACCCCTTGGCCATTGAAGTAGGAGCACTCACAATTTTCAACATCTTTCGTGTTTTCGATCAAATTCAACGAAATTTGACTATAAATTTTATTAACTCCTAAAATATTACACACATACTTATTAATAATTGTGTATTACTATAAGATGCTGAAATCTGTGAGTGGGTTGTGAAAGGTCGCGTGAAAATAAAGGGAAAAAAGAAAACTAAGAACTGCATCCGTGACGATGGGTTATCGTCAGGGAAAGCGTCGCGACACTTTGGAAATGTTGATGTATATACGTGCATGCACCAGTACAGACGGTCCCACGGATCTTTTATGTATGAACCACTAGTGCGATCATTCGCCATCTTTTCGTAGAAAGCGCGCGTTATACTGTTTTTTTGTATGTTTCTTTTGCTTCCGTGGCACAGGGAATTTTCACGAGAAAACAATGTATGCACGCGATCGATTCGACCAAAAAACACTTCGGAGAAACACGCCTTCCGTCGAAGGGATGCGTTAACAAGTACTAAGTATCGTTACTGAAAACAGCCTCGATGAACGAATAAAGGATGAAATGACATAGATCGATGTATAGAGAGAACCTTGCCGTGAATAATTACCCTGAAGATAAGCGGATAGTTTGCACATAAGCTCCCCATGATTCCACACCACCGAGAATGCCTGACTGACCGCCACTGGCATGCAAATCGTGGTCACCAGAAGATCCGCCACGGACAGGTTCACCACGAAATAATTCGTGACGCTGGAAATAAAAAGAAAAAAGATCCGTTCGTAGCTCTGTATCAGAACGCCGTTCCACCGTCTTCAGCTACCATGTACTTTCTATCCAGCCTGTATAAATGTGATTGCTATTGTTAATCCCAGGATCGATATCGAACCCGACGATTCAATCTAAAGAACAATCGGATTTTACGACGCTCGAGTTCCTTCGCAAACGAGACGAGTTCCTCGTCCAACGCGACAAAAGATCTCCCTTTTCTATAGATCCTGCTCTTTCACCTGAACGAACCATTGTCGTTATCTCCGACTAATTTTCAAGCATACAGATTAAACGATTCACGCGAGAACGTAGGCACCGTAAAGTCTCCACTGTTCACTTCCCAGTATTGTCCGTTTTGGCGATGAAGTAACCGGAATACACGTTGCTCGGCTTGAAAACATTAGGTACGTTCGAAGCCTAGATCCTTGCCCCGTAGAGGGGCCAAAGGTAATAATTTGACGGTTCGCAAATAAACGTCGAACAGCGTTCGTTTCCGTAGTATCACGAGCCGCGAACCGATCGCTTATTTGCACGACGAACGATGCTGCGCGAAGGTATCGGAAATAACCGCATGCCTATGCGTTTCCTCGACTCGTAGTCTAAGAAAGTGCAAGGTGCATTCTTCTTCCTGTCGCGAAGATCGTGCTCGGGAATCCGTGATTCGTCGAAAACTCGAAACCCACCATTTATCTCATCCTGATCACCGAAACGTGTTCGACGTGTCCATTTATTTACGAACAATATACGTGAACCCTTCTGTTGTTCGAACGTGGCCCTTTCCATCGGTGAATGCAATTTACGCCCCATTGTTTGCACCCCCAGAGAAGCATCGCATCTATTTGCACTCGTGCCCACGCGATATTATCGCTCATTACGCGTGTCTCATTCGGATCTTCGATTGATCACTGATTCGTGCATGCCAATTAACCGTTCCTCGGAGACAAACCAATCCACCCCCGAGCCTGTAATTTCTTCCAAGGGGGGAAACTGGGTCGAGGTAACGCACAGTCACGGAGAAGGCACGGAACGCTCGCAGCGCGTGAAATCGCCGAGAACGGTAAACGAATGACAATGAAAAGATGAAATCCCTGTAGGGTCGAGTCAACGGCGACATTAGCTTCACCGTCGACGAGGATACTACCTTGTGATCCTTGTACCGTAAATTGGGGTAACTTTGACACTTCAGTCAGGATAAGTTTGTTCCAAGTCAGAAAATGATCATTGTCGATTTTGCAGTTCTGTAAACTATGAAATTAAACTTAGATTCCCAAACTATCCTGTGACTTACGTTATTACTAATATTTTGGAAATGTATTATTTTCATTAAGATAGAATCCAACGATTATAAATATTTATGATAGCTAGACCTTTGACTCTAGAGGCTCTGAAGCATTTCTCCTGTTCGATGCTTGTCGCGACGCGGATCCAAGTTCTTGACAATAATCGACGGAACACTGTAACAGTAATTTTTACAATATTTTCATAATCTAGGGTTAAGTTGATTTTTACGCGAAAGGGTACATCACGTAAAACAGCTGGAAAATTGAAAATGATCATTTTCTGGCTTCGAGATAAGGTTATCATTGACTGTGTCGAAGTTATCGCCCAACTTACGGTATCGATTATCGCGTTAAAAAATTCAGACATGACGTGTATGCATCAGCCTCGATCCCGCCGATGGCTAATTGTGACCGACCTTATAAAGAGCCTCACCCAGGGTTATAATTAACTCGACCATGGTCGATCCTGTTCTCCCAAAAGCAATATCCTGATAATTTAAGCCGACAGACGTGACAGGGGGGCGGCAGGTTCCCTAATCAACAGCCTATACACTTGATACCGGTTTCAATCGACTCGTTGCCCGCGCGTAATTTAGTCAAATTCTCTGTTGGATCCGCTTCGAGACGCCCTATCGCCGGTGGACTCGTAAGTTTAAATTACTTCAGAGTTAACCGACGCTCCTTATCCGTACGCTTTCGAGCCTTTCGATCTGCTAGCGGGGGTGTATCTAGGATGCGTGTGTTGCGAATGAAATGTGTGCATAGAGAGAGACTGGTGAAGTACTCATAGAATATTCTCTTATACAGTAATTTGTCTTCGAGGTAAATAATCAACATACAGAAACATACAATGAGAGTCAAAAGTGAGCATACACTTTGAAAGTATGTGATTCATTCATACTTGTTTCTCTGAATTTAGAATCTAACATTTCGCATAGATGCTCTATTGCATTGAAATCCGGTGACTATGTAGGAGGACTTAAGCAAACAATTTTTGACCACCCTTGCTATATGTGTATTGAGTGACTATCTCACTAAAAAGCCCATGAATGCACTTGCAGTTGAATTTGTCATGCGGTCCCAAACTATAATAGAATATTCACCATGTCCAACCATATTTACTAAATTTGCTGGTTGTACCTTTGAATTTCTGTTTCTTTAAGAAAATCATATCCAACTGATTTGAATGATCGAACATACAATAGTAGAATGCTACAGAAGAATTACACGAACCTCACCTTTGTACGGTGTATACTTAGTTTTGACTCTCGCTTAATCACATAATGAATCACACTACATATAAGATCCCGTCTTTCCAAACAAAGAACGACAACATCGCGTCACCGACGTCGACGAACTGTAGAAAACTCTGCTGTGTCTGTACATACCTTCGCATGTAGTGGTACTTGAAAACGACCGCGATGACGAGGACATTGGCCGTGACAGCGAGCGCGATCAGGGGCACGTAGAGGACGATCAACAAGTAATTGGTCTCCCCGTGGAACTGTTCGTATATGTACCATAGCATCGCGGTGGTGATGTTCACGTTGAAGCTCTCGTTCGAGAGCATCATGGTCCCGTCGTCGTCCGTGTCGTTGAACTCCGATGACGTTGCCATCATCCTCGACTCGTTGTACACCGTGCTGCTCGTCATTTCGCCCGAAAAATCCGTTAACCACCCACCGAACGAATCAACGGGGGTGGTAGAACCGTTTCGATAAAACGGGAACGTGTCTTGCCGGCAACGGACATGGAAAACACCACCTTCCGGGTATGGATCAACCAGGAAAACTGGCTCGATCAATCACGTAATTGTTACCGGAGGCTACGGTTCGGCCCGCTTACGTTCGACGCTTTCGGCCTTCAGAGGGTGGAGGGGCAAGGGGATGAAGACTCTTCCGCGCCGCGGGCAATTCTTTTATTCGTTTTCGGCCGTACTAAACTCGATTAGCTTGGCTACAGAGGGAGGAGAGGAACCAAGTTCCATATATACGCAATTAAGAACGGGAATTTATATCGACTGGAACCCATTGTAATCGGAGTCCACCACCCTAGTTCTCGTTATTTTTATTTCGTTCCATTTAATCGTTTTATACGATATCACCTCGGTACGGAAGTAAACGTGAACCGAGTACAAACTCGGAGTATTTACAATAAGCGACTGAATAAGAACTGGTTTTGTGTAGAACCTCTCGAAAGGATCGATCGAGTGAACAAGGAGATTAGCTGGTGCGTGACCATGCAACGTCTCGCGAATTATTCAGAACGTACGGTGATCGAGAACAAGTAGGATGTGCGTTCTCCCCCGAAAGTATCGTCGTTAAATCGAGTAATTAACAGCGGGAGAATCCTTGAGAATTCATTCAAGGATATTGGCGGGACCACATTGGTTTTTCGATTAATTCAATTTACGGGACTCGGCTTCGCGTGGGACGCCGTTGAGTGACCGTCGATTAATGAAATATCTCAACAATAAAAAAAAAAAAGAAAGGACTCTCTGAAACGTCATTTCCATTCTTTTTCTAGTGATGCAACCCCTGTTATTTACGTTTTCGAGATGTCGATGGCAGGACCGTTCGCGTGAACGCAGTCGCTTCATGTATGCATCTCATGGTCGGCGTATAAACGATTCCGTAACTGTTTACCCGACCGTGAGACGAAAAATTTGCATAGATTACACGAGGGAACGCGAGACGACGTACAATAAACGTGTCTCCTGAAAATAGACCTCTGGTCCGTTTTTCCACCCTTGTCGCCCGTGATATTTGCATAGAGAATATGACACCGGGATGCACCACCGGTTGGAAACTATTCCCGTAACTGTCGGGGCGACGACAATGCGCGACAAACAAGAAATTGCTGCATTCGGATATTTATGAGCGCCCCGTCGCTGTGCAAATAACGTCCTTGCACAAACTATTTACCGATGCAGGTGTGTTTCTCACGTGTTCCCAGTGCCCACACGCCGTCCAGACATCGTTTGTGCAGTATTGAAACGGCGTCACGAAAATATTTCCACGGGTCTCCACGTTCGTCCTCTTGTATAATTTACTTTTTTTCTGCTAATACGAGGCTATTGGTCACTCACCGATAAACACTGTCGGTAATATTCCACAAATACGATTAATATACTTAGAAACATGGAAAAATCACCACCCTCATCGATATACCCGAAATTCTTCTATCTTCGTGTTTTTTTCTTTACAAGTTCGATGATGTTTAATTGAGAATCTTCCAATTGGCATAGTTTTTAGATTGACGATATTAATTCTTGCGACGAAGATCAAGCGTCTACGCGATCGTACAGGGGTTCCTCCTGGCGAGGATGATACGCGCGAGATGATTCGGGAAGCGGGACCACGATAAACTGAAAGGAGGAATCGCAGCTCCCGCCGGAGTTCTTGAAAGCATCCATAGGACGTGTACACCCGCCTCGCGCGCACGTTCCTTCGAGCGCGCCTGCGTTCTGCATCTCTCATCTCCTATATCTCCGTGTGCAACCCGGCTTCCCTATTATCTTGTGTGGTTCTCCACCTAGGATATCGCGAAAAGTGTCGATCCAGCTTGATCCCCCCGATCCATAACGCTTGACGGACGTTATCGCTAGCCTCTTTTGGGCAATTAATTCCTTTGATTCGCCGTACCGACTCTTTATACAAAAAGAGGCGGCTCATTGAACAGTTGCTGCCAAATCGAAATTCTATCGATAAATATTAGCAGCAATACATCCGTTTTGGAGGTTTCGCAACCAAGAACGTAAAATTGTACACATACTGAAATAGACTCCTGCGGTACTTGCAAGGGAAAGACCCCAACTGTCCGACTTCGATTTTAACGGGGTTTTGTAGGATGATAGTATACAGGTTCCTAATGATATACATATGTGGAATATTAGGTGTAGACTCTCGATAATTCTAAAGATATAAAGAATTAAAGTTACGTACCTTTAAGATGTACATATGAATATAAGTCAAACTAAGTACAGGGTTGTCGGGCTGGTAAATAGGAGGTCCTGGGATTAATTCCCGTTCACTGGAATATTTTTGTTTCACTTTCCTGGAATATTCTTGTTTCACCTGTTGAAAGTTCGTAACTTTAGTTGTCTATATCTGTAAAATTATCGAGTGTTAAACCCCGTTAAAATCAAAGTCGGACAGTTGGGGCCCTTCCCATGTTAGGATATCAACCACGTACAATTTATCAGAGGGGGGTAATGAAATTATCTCTGGCCACATTTAGGAAAGATAAAAACTTTCACGGAACCTTACACAGAACAGAAAACAGAATAATGTAGCCATTTTATATTTCCTCTTGTAGGATACCTGGAACCATGGATACACAGATGGACTACCATCGAAGTTGCAATCTTTAAGTTACACGAAATGACAGATGAGAATTTTTCGGAGTTCCCCTAAAGTCCAAAGTTCCGCGCGTCATATTTGTCCAAGCTTTTGTACACCTTGCAGAGTCGCATCTGGACTGCGGAAACATAATACGTTCGCCATCAGGGTAACAGACACATGTGGGTCGGAACGGTTTTCATTCGTTATCCGCTGAATACACAACCGAACTTATCGGTCGGGCGGGTTGATTTAAAGTTCCCAAAATTCCATCGGAAGTTCTGGCAGAGGAACAGACAGTGTGCAGAACAGTCGTAGATCGTAATCTATTTTTTCGACTTTTGAGTGTCTGGTAATTGTCGAGCTGCGACGCATTAATAACGAATTCATACGCAATCGTCCCCCCCTAATTCGTTACAGAACCACCTCCCTCTCCCTCTCTCTCAAACGAACGAATCGGCGACAGGTGTAATTCATCGAAAATCCTTAGGTGGTGCTGTAGCTCCGAAACAGATTACAGATTAGTCAATCCAGGGCGTCTTATGGTGTCCCAGAACTTTATCTACTGTCCCTCGGTTCTCTGTCAAGGAGGATAGGAAGGGTCGAACACCCAGCATCGGCTACATCGTCGAACAGAGGGTTGCGGTCCGGTTTAGCAACGCGTGAATAAACTCACAAAGGATGGAGCGAATTTCACACGTATTCTGTTACGGCAAGCCGATCGCCTTTCCATTGATACGCCGGTGGTATCGTTTAATGTCAAAGATCAGTCTATAAAATAGAGGCGCGTGAATACTCCAGTTTTCCTATTTCTGCGTTTGTTTTGTCGTGCTCGTATTTTATTCCCCATTTGTCTTCTTCAAAATCAGATCGTTCGAAATGTTCTTCACCAGAGAATCACCAAATACGTTGTCATACCCGAGACGATCTGTAAGTAATACAATCGTTTACAATTTTATTCAACGTAATACGAATGACAGACCAAATAAGTGTAGGTTCGAATAGACGCTCCAGCTAATTCCGACATTAATCTCCACCGACCCCCATGGAATCCTACTATCCTTCTTCCCCAAAACGATCCACATCAATCCCAAGAACCAGATCCTGCTCGAAATCTTACCGAAAGCAAAAGTGGAAGATCAACTCGTATAAAACCGGCCACGGTGCAGAAATGCAACTTCCTCAGTTGAAAGTACGCCGCTGCTTCCAAGTTTTCCTGTAATTATACAAGACGAAGGAATCGATAAGGAGAAAGTAGAAGTAAACAACGAACGAGAGAAAAGTATCCGATTCATTAAGAACATGGACTGCGTAGCAGGGAAAACGGAGCGGGGAACAATTAATTTAAAGCGAATAAGTATCGATGAGAACAAAGGCGCGATATATGGCAACAACAATAATGATGGAGATAAGAAAACAACACGTGAAAGTGCGAAACACTGTGAGAAAAAGATAAAAGAAACTGAAGAAAAGAGACTTTTTCACACGATGTAACGACACACTTAACACTTTGACTGCCACATTATCGAAACACGGATGACACATACATTGCAAAGTTCTTATTTATATACCGTTACAAATTTTTCCGTAAAATAAATATCGCAGTATAATTTAAAACAAGACCAACAGCCTCTATTAAACTAAACACGTATTTTCGACGATTCGTGACTGTAAAAAAACGAAATAAAGTGTGTCTGGCTACGTACGGCCTTTTTCACTGTCAACGTGTTAAGGGCCATTCTTCACTTTCACCTTGCTCGTAATATAACTTCGAGTAAGAAATATCGATTGATCGGTGAATAGAGACGTACATGTGGAAGTGTAAAAGATTGTAAGTAAGTAAACTCTCGTACCTGCAGAAACACGCGCTTCATGGAAGCAGACGAGGATGGTGTAAATATAATCTCGCCAACGCGATTGGCCTAAACAAATACTGGTAAGACTTGTCTTGCCTGAAAGATTCGGCAAAAATTATCTTTGTGTTTTCTGTTTGTTAATATCTACCTGGTACGCTGTCACGTGGCAGCTGGCAGTGACCAACAGAACATTCCAGGCGCAACTAATCGCAAGCATCGTTTCCCTGATCATCCCGTAGTTCGAGAGGTTGTACGACTTCATCGCGTAAATCCTTGACATCGTGTTCAAGGATAAACTGGAGATCCACAACAGTAATTGGACCGCGTACACGGAATTCAGCATCTCGGCCGCGTTCACCAGGGAGCAATGCAACCACCATATTTTTTGCAACGTGAATCGTACGCTAAGACGATCGGACATCATTAGCTTTTCCTTTTCTAGCAAAGAAGGTGAAATAATCGATTATTGATCAGAAGCATACGTACGGGAGGACGATTAAATATGAAGCAAACAACTCGTTAGTGTCGTTCGTGACATTATTGACAATCCGATACCGATCTGAAACTTTCGTCTAATTAACCCTTTCGTTCCCACTGTTGCCATATGACTAGATACTCGAAACTACGACACTACTACGACTAAATAGTTTCTTCTAGTCTTGTATAGATGGCATGGAAAAATAGCATCAGACCGTTTCAAATTTTAATATATTCTTGTGAATCATTTATATGTCGTACAATATACACAAAAATACAACAAAATATTTCTTTGGTAATTTTTAAACAATTTGGGAATAAAAGGGTTAAACGTGCTCATTTGTTGACCGAATGATTGATTCGACAACGAAACGTATGATGTTCTTTCGGTAAATGTCCGGTGTAAAACAGGGTACGAAAGAGCAGACGTGTAGGTTCACGGAAAACATGCGTCATTCATAATAAGCAAACCCACAGACCAAATGAAATCGAGCACGACTTCGCGAAATGTGCTACTTGCATCGCGAATGCAATAACATATATATGTATAGTAACGAGATGATCAATTATGGCTTCAAAGACGGATACGACCAAATCTATAAACGAAACCTCGGAAATACATAAACGAGGGGCTACCAGAGATTATTTAAAAAATAAACTCACCCGCGGTGAATTTTAGTATATTGCACAGTTGACGGAATCTCTCCCCGATGAGGAAAGAAAAACCAGCGAATATCATGATCTGCAGGAATATCGACGCGTCGACGACAGCGTACGCTATTCCGCGAAGCAGAGGTAGTCTAACTTCAAGTCTAGAAAATCACAATGACGCGTGATGAACGAGTTACACACAGACACACACGGTTCAAGAAGCCTGGCAAGACTTTATCTTCGTAATAGGCCTGCAGGCGTGTTAATTCTCAAACGACAATTTTATGAGAGTCTTGTCTAGAATGGAGATTCATGGTTCATTTCGGAAGATTAATCAAGTCACGGAAACTTTCGAAACTGAATTAAAACTTTACGGAAAGTTCAAGGGCATCCCTTATACGAGCTCCGTTTTCAAAGTAGTAAAAATTTGATAATCCTTTCTACGATCTCGATGAGTATATATATTATACATATATCTCTGAAAGCCTTACCTGTAACTCAAGTACCCAACTATCGTCCAATATATTAACGTAACGAACATAAACCCGTGACACATGTTCCGCACCCTGCGACGTTTCGAAGAGTCGCGAAAGTCCGTAACGCGATCAAAGTTTCGCAATTCAGACAAAACGGCGCGAATCTTTCTGTTCCAGAGCGTGGTCAAAGAGGCGTCCGTGAAGAAACAAGAATAAAAGAGGATCACCCTCGCGAAATTGAAGAACACAACTTTGGCGTCCGTGTCCACGTAAGGTAATATGTAAACGTTTATTGCCACGAGACTGACGAAGTATAAACTTATCGAAACGGCGATGAAGAACACGTCGCGACGCTTTCTTGCTGTGATGTCGTTCTCGGTGGTGATGTGAATAGCACCACCCAAAATCCGGGCAGCAATAAAGATTGAACGCATATCACCAACTGTCGACATCGCTTCAATATATTCTATCCTTTTTCAATTCGAAATTACACCTTTTAGGCGCGAATTCGAATTCAAACGATATATGCAATTGGAGTAATTACGATCTCGCGGTTTAAGTTTGAAACAGTATTGCCGGTTTGCTCATGGCACACGTCAGAACTTATCACTGGTAGCAACGAGTACAAAAATGCAACATCCAAGTTTGTTTTCTATACCATAACGAAGAGCAAAATAACGTGGCGAACGAACGATAAACACTGTTCCAGGTTGAAACTTCGTAAGGATTCTTGATCGTTTCTCCTGATCAATAGATAACGCAGAAACAAACAATCATTCCCTCGATGTTCGAGGGCTTAAATATGTAATGTCCTAACAGGACATCAAGACCTGAATTTATTTAACGATTCGACAGAATGATAACAACGCCGTCACCTGTAACGATTTGGTAACGATTAAATATTTGAACTGTTCATCAAAATCTGAAAGTCATTAAGCATACTTTTTACCTCTTCTGTAAACGTCCAAAAAGAATGGAAAACCTTACCTTGTTGTATTGTCATATGTAGAAAAAATGATTTAAAAAGTCTTATTGTATCACATTCTACCACTTACGCAAGAGAATACCGTCGGGGCTAGAAGAATTTTAATTATAATTGTAAAAACAATTGAAACAGAAATGTTTGTATGTAAAATAAAAATACGATTGTTTATACGTGTTTTACCGACAGAGTAGGAAGGTAACTGCATTTTCTGATCGCAATGGCTACGCAATTCACCCACATCGTGGCAGAGAGTAACGCTGAGAAGACATTCGGATCGTTTACGAATCTACTTATTGCTTCGTTCAAGGTATTGAAGCGAACGATCCAATAGAATTCTTTCAACTACATGACGTTACGTTGAGTAACGAGTTGAACTATTGGGGGCGTTCGGTGACCATTGCTGGTTACTATTTGACGGCACTCGTGCGTGTCCAGCGTTGCGAGAAGAAAACATTGTTTTGGAGGTGCGTGTGGTTAGAGCAGCCACTGTGCAAAAATGACGTCCCGCCTGGAGAAGGAACGTGCCAAACAGATCCAAGAAAAATGTCAGAATCTCTTGACACAGATGCTACGGGACGAAGACAACAAGTATTGTGTCGACTGCGATGCGAAAGGTTCGTGTGTCAATTGTGAACATTCTAACGACGGCTTCTTGTTCCTGTCTAACCGATCGGCTTCGTGTTTTTTCATCTGCCCTCCTGCTTGACTGGGAAAAATTCATTTTCCTGTATCAACCAACAAGTCTTGCGGGTCATCGATATCGATTCCAAAACGACCTAGTTTCACCTAGTGAAACATTATAGATTTTTAATTCTCAGCGTGACAAACCTTAAATGACAGCGATCATGAGTAAACGTCACCAATGTTTCGTTGGTCGTCTTGTTTCTCGTTACTCGCGCATCCACCACTCAATCGATGATCGGTGTACATGCTTCCTTCTTTCTGTAGCTCCTCAATAAACGATTTTACAGGAAAACAGAATTTTTTTCATTTCCTTGTTTAACAAATCATGCGTATCAACAAATATTTGCATAACCTGAAACATTTTATTATTGCTTAACTCTCTATATATTTGGTACATTTGTATTTAATTTTGATCTGTCTATGTTCATAGATTGAATGCAAATTAAGTTTCTCAGTACTATATTTTTTAATATGTAATATTAAATGTTACTTGTGAATTAAGTATATATATGTTCTTATTATATCGACAAGTCTCCCCTTGATGTGTTTCATAGGACCAAGGTGGGCTAGTTGGAATCTAGGTATATTCCTATGCATTCGTTGTGCTGGGATACATAGAAATCTGGGAGTTCACATAAGTAAAGTAAAGTCTGTTACCTTAGATACATGGACACCAGAGCAAGTAGTGGTATGTTTGCAGTGATTTAGTCTAATGTCTTTATGTATTATATTTTTTAATTCTTTGTTGTAATAATTACTTATAAAAATGTAGATGAAATATATTTTTATTCCTTTCAGAGTTTACAACAAATGGGTAACTCTCGAGCAAGAGCAGTGTATGAAGCAAACCTTCCAGATAATTTTCGCAGACCGCAAATAGATTGTAGTCTGGAGAGTTTCATTCGTGCAAAGTATGAACATAAAAAATACATAGCTAGAGAATGGGTGCCACCCCCTTTACCGAAGGTATAATTACATTTACTTTTAGAAACATATTGAATCCACAAATGGATGTATTAATTGATTACTTGATTAATTGATACTTAATATGTAGATAAATTGGGATAAGGAACTTGATGAAGAAGCTGAGAGACAACGTAGACGAAAAAAGGAGAATTCAAAAAACACTAACAATCAAACTATACTCCCACCTGTAAAGAAACCAGAAGTAGTGCCCCAGTTGCCAAAACCTAAGAGTTCTGTCAGTCCTAAACCTAATAGGGCTAATAACACTGCTACCCTAGACTTATTAGGCCTAGGTAAATTTCTGTAATGTATTTGTTGTACATATATAACTTGATATAAAAATTGCAGTTTTCATGTTATTTGAATTTTTTTTTCAGATGCTCCAGCAACAAATCAATCAAATGTAAATGGTACTGGGGATGATATATTTTCTTCCTTCTTATCTGCACCCCCTGCTTCAGTGACTTCAACTAGTAGTAATACTACAAGCAGTACCACAGACACATCAGCAACTGTGAGCAAAAGTGAGGAAGAAAGTTTCTTTGATCAACCAGCACCATCACCTCAAGAAAAAAGTAAAATGACTAAAGATAGTATTTTGGCCTTGTATGGAACACCGAATCATCAGCAATCAGCAATTTATGGAGTCCCTGGTATACTAATTATTTTAAATATGCTACTGTATTTAAATCTTTGATACATCTTTTGGGTTATCGCATTTCAGGTGGAATGTATCCTCAGCAACCTGCTGTTCAATACAAACAAGTACCAAACATGACAGCATTTGGTCAGCAATGTAGCTTTCCAAACCAACAAAGTTCCTTGACTCAACTTAACCACCTTCCTGCTCAAATGCCTGTTACATCTAATCAATTACCTGTCAATCAGGCACAAATGACAGTAAATCCTAATTCATTAGGGCCAGTGGCTGCAAACTCCCTAGGACACTGCACACAAGTAGGCCAGATGCACCAAATGAATGGTGTACCTAATCCTGCCATCGCAATGCAATCTCAAATGGTATATTAATTTCTGTATTACAATGTAAATATAAAATGTACTTGTTAATCGTTACATTAATTATTTCATATGTCTGCAGATGATGCAACTAGGGCAGACTAATATTAGTAGTAATAATGGATGGAGCGGAATGTTAACACAAAACCTTCAACCAGCACCCGGTAGCAATCCTTTTTTCAATTTAACAGTACAGCAGCAACAACAGTCTGTTGGTTTTGGTGCTCAGGTACATCGATCGTGTTTTCGTATAGATTCAGAAGTTTCTTTTTTCTCTTATGTAATATTAACTGTAATTACTTTCACGTTGCAGTTACCGCAACAAATGTCCCAACTGTCTTTAGGCGGTACAAGTTTCTCAAGCACACCAGGAAAAACTGCTACCACCGCACTTCCCGGACAAACACTTTCCACTAATTTGTGGCAGTAAAAGTCTTAAGGATATTGTTAGTTGATTGATTATTCCATTCAGTGTTGTACACTAGTGTCGAACGTTCATTGCCCAACACAATTATATTTCCATATTGGTTTGGAAATTGCTCTGGGATATAACACAACCAAGACACGAAACAAAAAATACCCGAATGCTGTCTTTTCCGAAAAGTAATTCGTGAATGTATACAGTATATCGAGTCAAAAAATATTTTTCTTCTAAAGCTTTGCTAGTTTTCAACGTTATTGTTGAAACAATGGAAAACTACGAATAAAAACGAATTTTTGACTGATTGTAAAGAGTTATTCGTGACGTACAGTGTATGTATGTACTTGAGAACGTAATTATATTGTTTGCTAAAATGGGTGCTTTTGTAACCACATGATTAATGTACGTCAGGGTCCACGTTCGTTATGGCAAAAATATTTCATTATACTTAAACAAATACAAGTATCTTTAGTACAATAAGCGTATTTTGCGACACGATTCAATTTTACCTGGAAGTATACAGTAAAAACGAAGCACGTAATAGTTTTCATAGATCACTAAAAATGCCAAAAAAAATGACACATTACAGGCAACTTTACTTAAAAAGTGACTTCAAATGATTTTAAAACACGAATTCGTTTATTAGCATGACATTGTAATGTTTGTAAAGATTTGATTGTTGTTTGGACGTATGATTAGTATTGACTATACAAAAATGAAAAAGACAGTGTCTTATGTTTAAAAGTTTATATATGCTATTGTGTTTGTACTTGAGTAGTGTGTTGTTTAGAGTGCTGAATTTCAGCATTGATTACACATTAAAGGACATTTTAGAACTTAATATTTTCAAACAAGTATTATTATTAATTCTTACAAAACTGAGAATCATTAACAGTTTTTGTTAGTACCTAATGGCAGAGACTTAATGATCAATTCATATGACCGATACCCTGATACTTTATAAGTTTCTTGCATTTAAAAGAGCATTTTAGTTATAACTGTCAATAATTAATTAAAGCTTTATATGTTATAATGTTTCGCAATTTGTTGTCATGTAACAACATAAATATTGAATCTTGACAATAAGTTCTGGACATATCTGTCGCATTCATGCTTAACTTTTTCTCTTAAAAAGTGATACCGAATCATGATGCCATTAAATATAGAACACAATTGGAAGATTTTTTTATGTTATTCTTATAAATAATTATCAACAATCATGTAATTAGCGATGTAGCGATCGAGGAAAATTAGGCCTTATAACTTACTGTTGCATAGAGAAAATTTGCCGCAATTGTAAAATTGATATAAGTACAAAAACACATTGTCGAAATGTAACAAATGAAAGATTTATAAAATTATTGATTGAGAAATTCGTAATGCGCGACGACGAAATCTGGAATACAGTATGTATATTAATACAATAATATTAAAAATTACATATGTATATCGCTGGTAATTAATACACAGAAAAAGTTCTCAGGTGAACGTAAAGTTATATGGCAAGTATAGAGGAAAATATTACAGAAAAACCATAAAATTAAAATGTACCTACATTATAGTTGAATTGATCCTGAAATTGAACAAATCGAATGGCATTCCGTCGTTACTTTTAGATCGTAATATATAAATCGGCAAAAGTACTAGGGATGTATTCTACGACGAATCTATAGATAGAAACACATCATTTTCAAAATGTCACACATTCTTCACATTTTTCCACTAACTTTCTATTAAATAACATTTTAACAACAAGTTCAAGCATTTAACGAATCCATTATAACTTAAAACATTCAGACTTTCAGCGCTCATGTGCGTTTAAAATTAAATGTAGTAAACGCCATCTACGATACATTAATAGACAAATTACAATAATAAATAACAGTATTTGTGTTAAAAAGAAACATGCTTCTTACCTTAAAAAATACATCGTTTATATAATCGACTAAAAAAAGATATGTCTAAATTTTTTGTTATCCGTTTCAAGTGAGTTGAACTTCAATTCATTACTTTCTTCATTTATTCATATTCATCTATGTCCATAATTGGAAAAACTCACCGGAAGTCGCCATCTTGATTATCGAATTGTGAATCGAAAACTATTCTTTCACTTCCGTAAAACGTCTTTTCGTTGTCGCATGAAAGCCACGTGAGAGTATCATGGATAAACCAGTAGTTTTGGCTCGTGTTATTAAGGTCCTAGGCCGTACTGGCTCACAGGGTCAGTGTACACAAGTAAAAGTTGAGTTCCTGGGAGAACAAAACCGACAAATTATCAGAAATGTAAAAGGACCGGTACGAGAAGGTGATCTCCTAACCTTACTGGAATCGGAACGTGAAGCTAGAAGACTTCGATAGGAGAATTTACCTCCAATATATAAAAACCGTCAGGAGTATCCGGATTCCGGCAACACAATTCATTCCACCGACTGAAATGGGATCACACCAACTATTCCAGTACCACAAAACTACACACGATCCAAAACATATATGTCAATGAAGATGCTGCGACTTCTGTAATAAATACTGGTTACTATTTCACGAAGTATTTGTCTTTTCATTTAATCCCACTTTTACACTTAATTCTGTGTTCTTATTAATTAAGTAGTATAAATTCAAAGATTTTGTTACATATTAGGTTTCACTACTTCTATTACTACATAAAGTAATATTTAAGGTTTCTATTAATATTTTATTACACAGAATATTTACAATAGAGGAATGAAAAATTCTTTATAAAATCGAATTTATGGATGTATATATTCTCTTGCTGAAGTCTCTGTATGATCTAAGTCTATTATACACAAGTCACACTTTATTCACATTTTAAATTGCAATCTTGTTTCTATAATAGATTAGTAATAACTTCAACTTGTAAGAAATTGTTATATTCTTCTGCGTTTTGGTGGTGGTGTATCACGTGGACTGGAGGATGCTTTAACTGTGCTATCCATACTTTGTCTAGTTGGTCTTTTTGGACCCCTCTTCAAACTTTCACGACCAGAATCAGAATCTTTGCGTTCCTTCTTTCCATTTGATGCTAAATAGAAGAATTAACACACTCTGTATAGATTGTTCAAAATTATATTGAGGATACGTACTTGTTTCTTCAGGATCATCTTTTCCTTTTGATCTTCCTTTAGAAGACTTATGATCTTTTCTAACATCTTTCACCTCTCTAAGTTTATCTTTTTTCATTTCTAGATCCTTTACATACTTCTTGAACTCTTCCTTTTTTTTATCCACATCTTTAGTTCCTTTGAGGTCACGAAGAATAATGTCTTTTTTCACAGGGTCTTTAACATCTTTCTCTTTTTTTATTTCCTTATATTTATCTCTTTGTTCTTTCAACTTTAGCTCTGGTTCCTCTCTTTTTCTTGACTTAATTGGTCCCAAAAACTCTTGTTCAGGTAAAGAAAACTCTATTTCTTGACTAGGGAATGGTAAATCTTCCATATCATCCTAAAATCATTTGATTACTATTAGAAGTTTACTTTTTATTATTATGAAATATTCTTCAATAAAATAATAACTACCAGTGCCATGAGATCATACATTGATTCCAAATGATCCCAAATCATTTTTAATGACACATCCTTGTGAATGGCAGCACGAAACTTCTCCCATATGCAAACCATATGAAAATATTTGTTTACACCTTTAAACATTAATGCTTAATGGAATCACATAAAATGATAATGTATTTATTTATAATGTTACTCTTAATTATTGGACAGCAGATTTTGTGTATTCATAGAATATACTACTATATCAAACTAATAATGAAAGAATGATTTAACAAGATTTTACATAATTTAAAAACTGATAGAACATTCAATACGGTAAGCAGTTTTCTCTCCGATTCTCCTTTGTGTAAATTAGTCCATAAAAACCTGTGTTTGTGTAAACATCTGCAGTCTATTATTTATTGTTGTTATGTCAAACATATGTAAACATAACCTATAGGAAGTTTATTACTATAAATCTTACCAACAGGTTTATGTCCATTCATAGCAAAGAATAATTGAATTTCATTTTCGACATTCCATTCTATTTCATCGGAAGAACTTTCTAAGTGTTTCTCTTTAACTGCCATCATTAAACTTCCTAAAACAGTACAATCTAACTCGTAATGTATCAACTCCCTCACGTCCGCATTCTTTGGATAATTAATAACACTGAATGACACTGTCAGGCACTATTGCCAAATGTTATAATATTCGCATGCTACGCCGTGTTCTCCGTGCACTCCCTATACTCATTTGAATCAATATCGTTTATAAACAATTAATGTTTCTAACGTTTTTAATTAATATTTTTTATACGTGAGATCAAAACGATCCATGGCGTCATCTACGATAAAATGCCCAAGATACTAGCCAATTGGTACTACATTCTTTTCGTGAGGTGGTGCCACAGTGTCTTTCATTAACAATGTCGGTACCTAGGTTGTGGCGTACATATACAGAAAAGATTTGTACTTTTCTATAGAATCTTATATAAAATAAGAATCATGATGATTGTTACTTTTTTATGAATTATAAAAAAATGACAGTTTACAAAGAAAGAAACCATTGTTAACATTTAAGAACGAATAATAGTAAAAACGAAACACATTTTGGATGTTTGGTGTGTATACAAAAATTTCTATTTGAAGGTATAAATCAAGTCTCATATTAATGTTAATGTATTGTACAATAATAATATATGTACACAAGGTTAAATAGGTTGTTAATGTGTTTATTTCAGGGAGGACTTTTAATTATTGTACGCTACAATTGTCAATTTCTTGGTGTTGTATTGACAATACACAAAATGCATGAGAGTATAGATGATATATGTAAAGCAATTGATGAAAATCTATTGCATAATTTAGAGTTAATGGAAGAGAAGATTAATGTTAATATTCAAATGGAGAATATGTTAAGTGATGGTCACATAGAATTAGCTAAAGTTAAGTATATACGTGGTAAAGAGAGTATAAGTGTTTTGCAGGTTCCCGATGATGAGGAAAAAGTAGCTACATTATTTGAATTAGAAACAAAATTAGCAGAGGAAACCGGCAAAATAATCCCAAACTTTGATATAAGTTTGAAGAAGTTTGATAAAGATGGAGATGAAATCCCAGATCCTATAAAATGGTTTGGGGTACTAGTCCCACAAAGCTTACGAATTGCTCAAAAACGTTTCCAGGAATCCCTTTATCTTGCTGTGAGATCAGCAAACATACAAGCAGAAATTGCATCTGTATCAGACAAATTAAAGTCTTTATATTTTCTGAAAAATGCGTATGGCCCAACAGATGAGAATAAAACTGAAAAATAATTAAGGTGTTTTCAATTTATTTCACCTTACTGTCCTCTCTGTGGTAACTGTTATAAAGAACTTTGTGGCATATTCGGTTTATTGACTTTCGGGTGTAAAAAAGAAATAGCGACTGTATAACGCCGAGCTGTAAAAGCCTTAAATCTCATAAAATTAAAATAATGTTTTTTTGTATGAACTAACAAACAAATTACTAACAACACGTGTAACCTGTTGCGTTATCCAATGAAATTTAGGATTTTCCTTCTTTCCGTCTAAAGAACTGATCTCATTGGTCGACGTATTCATCAGCAAGAATTAGTAAATCTTAACGCGACTGAAGCACGCAAGTTTCAGTAGAAATTCCCGCCAATTGTCATTATTTAGTTTGAGCCCTGCGGGATATAGATAAAACAATATTGTGTGTGTTACTTTCATTTGAGTGTTTGTTTTGATCTTGTTTTATTTTATGTCATCCGATATAAACACAATGGTAAGATACTTAAATAAAAAATTCACAAAATTATATACATTTCAATGCACTGAAAATATTGTACATGTGCACTAAAATAAAACAAATTTATCCTAATACTTTTTAAGACGTACATCTAGTATAAATTGTTTACATTGCTTTATGTACATTTTAGGATGCTAGTAGTTCTCCAGTTCGTTCTGATAGACATACAGAGGCAATGACGTCCCCTGCACCAGATATAGATGAACCATTTGAAGATGAATCTGATCTGCTTGGTAATGACAATGATGTCAATCAAGATGAAGAACAAGAAGAAGAGGGAGAAGAATTATTTGGAGATAATATGGAAGCGTATGATCTTATATTATAAACAAATTAAAGGAATATAATGAATGTGTTATTAACTTTGTTGTAACATTTTTCAGTGATTACCGTGCTATGCCAGCTTTAGACAGATATGATCCAGATGTAGTTGATGATGAAGACTACTCAGAAATGTCTCAAGGAGAACGTGCTGCTGCTGAAGCTACTATGCATAAAAGAGATAGAGCAGCAGGCATCACCAGAGATGATAGGTTTTTACTTTATGGTATATTCTATCTTCATAAATATACTAGTGTATCTATTAAAGCATACTACATCATATCTGTTTATACATTTAAGATGAAAGTGATGAAGACGAAGTACAGGCACATAAGCGGCGTATGGCTGAAAAAGCTGCAACAGGTGAAATAGAAGATACAGAAGTAAGTACCTTTATCACCTTTTTCATTGTTCAGTGTAAAGTAATTATAATCATTTTATTTTAGATGATTGAGTCTATTGAAAATTTGGAAGATACTAAAGGACGTTCAGTTAAAGACTGGGTAACTATGATAGGACCCAGAACAGAAATTTCTAATCGGTTTAAGAGTTTTTTACGTACACATACAAATTCAAAGGGACAGTACATGTACAAGGAAAGAATTCGTCACATGTGTGAGAGTAATCAAGTAATATATCTTCTGCCAATAATTAGTATCAGTACTAGTAGAATGCAGATTTCCAATATTAATTATTTTGTTTTGTAATAGTCGAGTTTTGTTGTGGAATTCCCTATTCTTGCTAGTAAAGAGCATGTTCTGGCTTACTTCCTGCCAGAAGCACCATTTCAAATGTTAGAAATATTTGATGAAGTAGCAAAAGAGCTAGTGTTGACTATTTTTCCCAGTTATGAAAGAGTCTCGACCGAGATTCATGTTAGAATATCAGAGCTACCTTTGATAGAAGAAATCCGTACATTTAGGTAAAAGACAATAATATATTGAATACAATGTTTGATACTTAAAAAAGTAGTAATGCCACTTATTATAAATATTAGGAAGCTACATTTAAATCAGTTAGTACGTACTCTGGGTGTGGTTACTGCAACAACAGGAGTACTGCCACAATTATCAGTTGTGAAATATGACTGTACAAAATGTGGATATGTACTTGGACCTTTTGTACAAAATCAAAATGTCGAAGTTAAACCTGGATCATGTCCTGAGTGTCAAAGCATTGGGCCATTTATGGTAAGACCTATTATTAGTCATTTTATGTTCACAAAAGGATCTATATCTTAGTTATACATTAATGTTGATTACAGATTAATATGGAACAAACAGTATATAGAAATTATCAAAAAGTTACAATCCAAGAATCACCAGGTAAAATCCCTGCAGGAAGAATACCTAGAAGTAAAGACTGCATCCTTCTATCTGATCTCTGCAATCGCTGTAAACCTGGCGACGAAGTGGACGTTACCGCCATTTACACGAATAACTACGATGGTTCTTTAAATACAGAACAAGTAAAAAAATAATTTGCAAAATCTTGTATTAAACACAGTTAAATAATATATTTGTTTCGTGTGTAGGGTTTCCCAGTATTTGCAACGATTCTTCTAGCCAATCATTTAAATGTGAAGGGTTCGAAAGAAATAGTGGAATCTCTAACTGAGGAAGATATTTCTAGTATTATTTCCTTAAGTAAAGATCATCGAGTTTTCGATCGTATTGTTGCAAGCATTGCACCTTCGATCTATGGACACGAATATACAAAAAGAGCCTTGGCATTGGCAATATTTGGGGGTGAATCAAAGAATCCAGGTATTTATTCTTTTCTCTTTTTACCATTACTTTTGACGTGTATTCTTTAATACTATGACTTAACAATACTAATTCTTATGTACAGGTAATAAGCATAAAGTAAGAGGAGATATTAACGTGTTGATGTGTGGTGATCCAGGGACAGCCAAATCTCAGTTTTTAAAATTCACTGAAAAAATTGCACCGCGAACAGTATATACCACAGGTCAGGGAGCCTCAGCCGTTGGCTTGACTGCTTTTGTGAGAAAGTCGCCACAAACTCGAGAGTGGACATTGGAGGCCGGAGCCTTAGTACTCGCTGATCATGGAATTTGTCTGATTGACGAATTTGATAAGGTATACAGATATTGTTTTCTAGTAAATGTATGCAATATAATTCAATTATTACTGTCGTTACAGATGACCGATCAAGATAGAACGTCTATACACGAAGCTATGGAACAACAGAGTATTTCTATTTCAAAAGCAGGAATTGTTACATCCCTTCACGCTAGATGTTCAGTAATCGCTGCATCTAATCCTCTTGGAGGAAGATACGATGCTAGTTTGACGTTCTCAGAAAATGTACTAAATTGCCATATATATATAAAGACAAGGAACAAATACAATAGATAATATTGATGTACAAATTTTTCTATTCAGGTAGACTTATCAGAACCAATTTTGTCTCGATTCGACATTCTGTGCGTGGTAAAAGATGAAGTAGATCCTATGCAAGATAGACACTTGGCTAAATTTGTTGTAAACTCTCACATTAGACATCATCCAGCAAATGCGGAGAAAACAGTGCCTGTAGAAGATAATCCAAACGACATATCCATTCCACAAGATCTTTTAAAGAAATATATAGTTTATTCCAGACAAAATGTTCATCCCAAGTTGACAAATATTGATCAAGACAAAGTAGCAAAATTATACAGTCAATTGAGACAAGAAAGTTTGGTAAGTTATATGCATACAAATTGCAATCGTTTTTCAGTTACCATGGTACAATCTATATTTCGACAACTTTTGTAGGCTACTGGAAGTTTACCAATTACTGTACGACATATAGAAAGTATTATACGTATGGCTGAAGCAAGTGCTAAGATTCATTTGCGAGATCATGTTCAAGAAAATGATATTAACCTTGCTATCAGAATGATGCTTGATAGTTTTGTTGACACACAAAAGTATTCAGTAATGAAAAGCATGCGCCAGGTAAGTTTTAACTCCGGTTGCAAATATATTTACGATTACTTTATTAAAATATTTATAACAAATATCTTATTATTTTTTTTATAGACATTCCAGAAGTACTTGTCATATAAGAAAGATCACAGTGAACTTTTGTATTACATACTTAGACAAATTACATTAGACACTTTAGCATTCCAGAAAGCTTTACATGGAAGTCGTATTCAAACGATCGAAATCTCAGAAAAAGATTTGTTGGATAGGGTATGAATGATTTATTTTGTTTGACTCACTTTTGTTATAAATGTATAAATATTGTTTCACTCATACTTTCACTTTCTTTCAGGCTAAACAACTCGACATATACAATCTTCATCCGTTCTATGAAAGTAATATCTTCAAGTCAAATAACTTTGTATATGATTCTAGAAGGAAAATAATAATACAAACTCTTCCAGAGAGTATTGATGACTAATATGTGTTATTTAAAATAGCATGCAAACATGATTTTTACAATAGACTATCGATCGATTATACTTTTAATAATTTTTTTATATGTATTTTTAATATTGTTCTTCTTTTTTAATAAAAAATGTCTGTTTTATGGATTATATGTGTTACAAAATTATTCTTCCTTCCAATTACATGTGCTTAATAAAGTAGAAAGGCATTGGTACCATAATATAAATAATAATGTTCAATTACAAAATACATTATACAAATTATTATTCGAAGAGAAATTTACATCTAAGTACTTTAGTAATTTAAATTTTGTACAATGAAGTTTATCATACATATATTTGCTGCATAAGAACTGATAAAGTACCTCATAAATATTTTAAAATATCAATATCTATTAAAAAGTTCTTATTTCTTATCTAAAATTACCTTAGATATTAAAATATCTTAAAATATACCTTAGATATTACTTTTTTTAAGAACGGTTATTATTACTACCGGTATTACTAGAACTACTACTACTACTGGAAACACTGTCACTCGAGTCTGATTCACTGTCCGATGATGAGCTACTACTGCTGCTATCATTACTACTACTAGAACTACTGCTACTTGAACTGCTTCTTCCAGCATTAGAATTTGTATCACTGGAACTGCTAGATTCCTTCTTCATTTTTTTTTGTTGATGACTCTTCTTTACTTCCTTCTTCTGTTCTTCACTGCAAAAGTATATAGTTATTCATACTATTATTTATTGGGATCTCAGCATCACGAAGCTAACTATTTCTTTAGAACCTACGTATTAGTTTCTTCTTGACTTTTTAAAGCTTTCTTCAGTTGTGACGTACGTGAAGATCTATGTAAATATTTTCTTCTTCCTTTACACTCATAACTCCAATGTCCCAATTCTAAACATTTCTGACATCGCATCCCTTGTGGATATGGATTGCTGATAGAACAATGATAAAGAATGAGTTTATAAATCAGTAATTGTTATACATCATAATATATTTGTTACTGTTTACAGTTAATTATTATACATCATAAAAAACTTATGTAAATGTTATACTAACTTTTTTCTAAACACTTTTAAACCGTTTGAACTCATTTTGCACGTATAATCATACTTTACAACATTAAATTCGTCTACGAATTATATTCCAAAATGTAGAAATCGTTACTCAAAGTCTGTTTAGATGCAGGATAGGCTATTCAGCACTACCAAGGGAGCTTCCAAATTCGGCACGCTCCGATCAGCTCCGATGCAAATGCAACTGCTTTTGAGGTGTTTGTTAGGACAGTAAATACGTTTCAACGGAAATCACCAATCAAATATGTTGCTACAAAAATTAAAGAAGTATGATTTTTTGAAATCTTAAAATTCATTAAATTAATCGTTTTTTCTTAACCTGGCAAATATATGATAGCAAGTGTGTATATATATAGATCTTACACTTTCGTAGAAAAAAATATTTCTTTGACTAGCAGATACATTTTCCTACAAGAAAGAATGTACATATGTAGATTAACTTTTACATTCTCGAAAAATTATGTAAAAGGATATCATTACAAGCGATAATATTTCAAGAAAAATTGTAATACGTATAAATGTATATTTTAAAGCTATTATTTATTGTACAGAAAGTAATGACTTCTTTAAATCATGAGAAAAATCAATCACATGACTTTTGTTTATCGGAGTGTCTCAGTCAAAATCTAGAACTAAAAGTTGTTAAAAATCTTTTGAGTACAAGTTACAATATATTTCAACGAAAGCAGAAAGTATTAAAAGAAGAACGTGCGAAATTGGTAAAAATACAATCGATTAAGCGACGAATCATTATAATTATTTATTTATAAAAAAACTTTTACCAAATGTGTTATAGGACAATATAAATTATTCTGTTTGGGCCACAGAAGATAAATTTTGTAACGAAGTGTGGAACTTTTCTTTGGAACATAATTTTAACGTTTTTTTCAATCAGTTTTCTGATATTAATGAAGTAATTAAATTTCATAATTGCAAGTACAGTACTGCTGCATATGATAATAAAGAAAACATTGATAAATACAAAGAAAGTAGAGTTATGGAATTAAAAAATGAAATTAATAGTCTTAATAATGAGATAACAGTTATTCATAATAAAAATATTGAAGAAGATATAAAAAATGCTACATATGTCTTAAATAATTTAAAATCATTTTCAGAAGAGATAATAGATCTCATAAGGTACTGGCAATAAATAAATTGAAAACAAGTTATTCTTAATCATATTGGTAATTTGTAGCAAAATTGTTTACATTGGTGTTTTAGATTGATAAGTACATCAGAAAATTCTCAGAATATTTGTAATATATCCACATATCAGGAGTCAAATGCAAACAAGGGGTTTATGAGTGCTAAAAAATTATTTAAAAAACACCCTGCTATATTAGTTGAAAAGAAAGTAACAACAACTTCAAATATAATAATTAATAATTCTAAAAAGGTTCAGAGTATATTTTATAATACTGTACTTATTAATGTTTTTTAATGAATTTTACTTAAAGGAATATAATATCTGTATTTTTAATTACAGTGTGATAATGTGAAAAACAATATAGGATTAGGTAAGTTTGTAATGAAAAGACAAAGCCTTATTTCTTTAAAGCTTGAACGAATGTCAAAGAATTAAGAACAAAATGTAAAATATATTGATAAAGGTATTATAATTTTGCAATTATGTTTTGTGGAACTTAAATGTTTATGTAAAAAAGTGTTTTTATAATAAAATATTGTGTAAATTTATTTATAATAAAAAGTAAATTCAAAAGTCAGAAATGTTTATAGCATATTTATATATTTAGAAATATACAGCATCCTATATAATTTATCATATACATTGAATTACATTATATTATAATTCTGAAATTATATAAATAATATCGCACTTGATAGACTATTCAACAAGATTATAATTTGAGAATAGTTATTCTTTTTTAATTATCATATAAATTTAATTATCTTCCAATCATACAATAGTGTATCACTTATGTATTGTAAAACTGTTGAACAGTTTATCACAACAATTTATATTGTAACACTCCTTTTGGCAACTTTTCCATGTATCCTGAAACTTATTTAACACCTTGCCTTGAAACACAGTAAACATACATATATACTGTTGTTAAACAATTTATATGATACCTTAAGAGCAACATTTTGTACATGCCTTTAGTAATGTAGATAAGTGTTGTATGGAATTTTATAAATTATATACATGATTACTATTAGTCAAAATACAAAAGTAACCATGACTTGAATTTTATAAATTGACATAGATTGTTTCAAGTTTAAATAATTGAAGTTATATAATTATGCACACATAAGACTTACAGTTTAATTAAGAAAAAAACAGTAATCAATAGTCAAGTGAAATTTTATTCGTGCAACATTATTATCAATCTTTATTACTTCATGGACAAATTGTAGAAGTCTGAAAGACAAAGTTTTAATGCAAATACATTATACAATTATTCTGGAAACATAACTAGTGTAGAAAAACTGTAAATAGACACATAACAAATTGTACATTTACATACATCAATGGTAATATAAAATAGACATTACATTCTCTTAATTATAATTAAGAGTTTGCTAAGTTCCATTTCATCTTTATAGTATTTTAACATACTTTCAACCATAACAATTTTACACTTTTCTGAAATTAAAATAATATTGAGAATACTAATGTAATTAAGATATGTAAAGCAACTAAGATGTTTTAATACTTATAATCTCTGTTATAATCATTCAAATACCACTAACTATAAAAGATATTTGTATACGTTATATTTTACAATAGATTAATATAATATCATTTAAAGCTATACTTAATATAAGTAAAATAGTGCTAATTTTTCAATTTCTTATTGCACAGCCATTGCATAATAAACAAATTATGAAAAACCTCTAGTTCAACTATTATGTTATAAATGGCAAAATAGTATACCAATATTTCTTGTTCAGTTGCATGTGTGTAAGTATATTTTAAAAAAATCAATATATCCATAGCTATAAATAAAATCCAATCAATCAAGTATTATAGGTATGATACTAAATGTATGTCTACATATAAATTTCTATATGTAAAAAACAATGTAATAACATATATACTATTTATATTGGCACCATTTATTGTGCACAAAAAATTGTTTTAATTATAACACAAGAACTATCATTTATGGAACTTAGCAAAAATAATCTTTCAGTAATGCAATGCTAGTACTAGATAATTGTATGCTTATGTTTGGCAGCTCTTTCAATGAATGAGTGCATATTAATGATTCAATTAAAAAATTCGAATTGCACTAATTATTAGAATTATAATTTATTAATTAATTAAAAGAACATATATGCCGTTTAATCTTTAACTGCTTTATAAAAGTATACATTTAAATGTAGTTCATAATTGCCACTGATTATTGCAACTTATGTACCAGATGTAAAAGTAAAAATTACTATTAAAATGTTGTGCTATTATCATATATACTTTTCTTTATGATACATGTTTTTTTTCATCATTTTTTAAAAGTGCTTAAATATAAAATCGTTTACATTTAGTCTTAGAAATAAAAAAATAATACGTTATTTGTTACAGTCTGCTAAATTATATAAGTAGATATCTTTCATATTTTGGAAGAGCAGCTTTTTTCAAAACCTCTTACAATTAGAACTCCTCTCACAACTGATAGCGACATGTTGTAAAGTAACTAACAACACACAAGCCTCATACAATAATACAATACCAACTTATTGTTATACATTATTTGAATTTCTTCAGCAAAATATTTTATTTATATGGCAATGAATAGCAGTAACTAAAATGTAAATTCATTGATGCCGATTCTTAATTTTATGCTTACTTGAACTGAATAATTTTATCTGATTCCTTCATACTTAATACAATTTTCAAAATAATAACTATAATATTTAAGGATAATATTTTCAGGTATCTGTGTATAATAAAATTTTAAAGTCAAGGGATCTGTTGTGGTATTTTTAAATGATAGAAGTTAATTTTCTGAAATTAGAAGATATTTGTAATACAAAGCACATTGCATGCAAATTAAAATATATTACATTTTACTATGTGACTAAATAATATACATACAAAAAACAAAATAGATAAATGAAGTATCATAAACCATGTATACTTTATATTAATAAAAGTGTCAGTATAATTTATATTATATCTGTATCTAAAATATCTTATTATGATTTCATTCTTTTATAGTTTCTTTATTCATTGTGCATATTCCGAATTCAGCACTAATTTCATAGTATATCTGTACATATGTTTCTTCTTTTTATGTTGAAAATGTATTGCAGATATATCTTATTCATTTTATGAGAATACAAATATATGCGCCTTTTCATATATTATATACCAATAATATTTATATAATTTTTATTAATGTGAGATCATTATGGTGAGAATTTAAGTTAATAAATATTCGTATCAAATATCAGTTGTATCTGTGTCACTCTTATTAAGAATCGACATCTAAGTCATATGAGAGACAATTTTCTAATTTTGTTACATAGATCGATAAGGTCCTTGCATTTTTAAAAATTGGATCACTAAGGAAGGGCCTCCAGCAACTATTTCTGGTGGAATTTGTGAAAGTGGACAATTTTCAATTGACATAATACTGAGATTTGTGCATAGAGCTAATTCAAATGGCAAATTATGTAAGTTTGCATTATCATTTACATACAATGAATCTAAATTTTCTAGTGTACCAATTTCTTCGGGTAGATAGTTGAGGTTATTCTCTCCTACACTTAAATATGTTAAATTTGTCAGATGACCAATTGCTCTGGGTAAAGAAGTCACCTGATTACTCTGCAAAATTAATTTTTGCAAGTCCCTTAAAAACCCAATTTCATTTGGTAAAGACTCAATCTTATTTTCTTCAAGATCCAAAACTCTGAGTTTCCGTAAGTTTGCTATACTGGCAGGAATACGTTTTAACAAATTATTAGAAAGTATTAAGATTTCTAAACTCTGAAGGCATTGAATATCATCTGGAATCTTTGTTAACTGATTTGTACCTAAGTTCAATTCAACCATATTGACCCATGTGCCAATATCTAATGGTAGAGCAGTCAACTGATTTTCTTTCATATTTAATTTTGTCAAATTCTTTGCTCTAGAGAAAATACCATATGGTATTTTATCAATCTTATTATGTTCAAGATTGATAGAATAAACATTCGTAAACTGGGCTGGTCCTCCTGATGGATATGCAGTGAAGGCATTTCTGGATAAGGTGATTGATGTCAGATCAGAAAGACTTGCTAGTAATCCATCTGGCAATTGAGATACTTGGTTTCCTTCGACGCTGAATTCATCCATTAATTTACAATTTGCCAATGATTTTGGAATATTGGTTAATCTATTATACCTAAGACCTAATCTTGTTAAAGAAACTAAATTCCCAATTGTATCTGGAATATCCAGAAGCTCATTGTGTTGTAGATCAAGCGTAGACAATTGAATGCAATTTCCAATCTCTTCAGGTAGATGCTCCAAATGATTGTGAGACACATCAAATGTTATCAAATTGACCAACTTGCCGATACCTGCTGGGAGTTCCTTGATTTTGTTCTCCCTTAAGCTCAACATTGTCAAGTTTGTCAAATTTCGAATGTTGTCACTGACATATCTGACGCGATTGAAGCGTAAAAATAGAGTCGTTAAATTAGTTAATTTATAAACGACGTCGGGTATCTCGCTTAATTTATTATGCCTCAAATCGAGCACCCTTAACGACTTCAAATTTTCTAACGTATTCGGCAAACTGGTGATGGAATTCTCGCTTAAAGCCAACGTTTTCAAATTCGCGAGATAACCAATCTCCGTCGGTAATGTCACGAGTTTGTTTCCGTACAGATAAAATTCGACTAAATGCGTCAGCTCTCGTACTGTACTGGGCAGATTGGTGATGCTGGATTTACTTAAATCCAACCGTTTCACGCACTCGTCTCTACATCGTATGAACTCCTTGGAAACGTCTAAATCAGCTTGAATCGGTTTGCCTTTTTTCGTGGTCGGTTTCGGTTTATTCGATTCAGGATGCTTGACAGTTACTGTTTTCTTGGTATCGGGACCTGCTATGGACGCGGATGATAACTTTTTCTCCTTCGTCTGTTCCTTGTTGTCCCGTAGGACATCCACATCCTCCGGCATGTCGGCTGTACAGGTGGTTAGACCACAGCCTTCCAAATATTCCGGAATATCCTGTTCCTTCATGTAAAAGGTCGGAAGACTGTCTTCGAGGTCCTCACGGTCCCTCTTCACCTCGGACAAACACACCGTTGAAATGTTACCCACACCTGTCCTGTATTTGTTCGACTTTTTCATAACCTAATCACTATCGCAACTACGATTACTTTATGAGTATCTTCGCGTACTTCTACGACATTATACCGCCTTTTTTAAAAAATTTCGTGCTTTACAAGTATTGACATATCGATGTCAGCCACTGCACGTAGCGCAAACGCGAACGGCTGATCTGATAGAGAACTCGACGGACAATGAATGTGCAATGAATGTGTGTAGCGAACGCGCGTGCGGATATTGTTTGCTACCGTCGCGTTAGATTTAAAAACTAGGTTTAATGTAGAGTAACGGCTAACGCGGATTCGCCTTCAGAGCGTTCTGAAATTTCTCCTGGATCCAGCTTCGTTGTGTATGGACGTATTATATTGTTTCAGTGAATTTCGTGTAGCGCAATAGGTTTACATATTTTTAAACGAATCTATAGGATGCAGACATTTTTATTAACAAATGTATTAAGTTAAAAGTTGAAGATACTTAAAATATTTTAGTCTAAAATTCGTGTTTTAACAGATATAAAGTCCCTAGCTGGTTCTTACTGGGAAGAATTTTATGTATTTTCGAACGTAGATGTTCAAGGAGCGTTTGAAATTTCGGTTTAAATCAGATGTTCCTAATCAGTTCCTAATGTTCAAAGTAGAATGAGAAAAGATCCGGTGCAAAGATATACATATATATTATTATAAAAGACTTCTACGACCATTTTAAGTTTTGAACAATTACTAAAAATGACGGATGTCGAGATACTACGGAAAGTCTTAAATCCGTCCATACAAATAAGTAAACTATGTTTATCGTATGTAACTCGACTTTTCCCCGAATATAAGGAATCTCCTTGTATTATTTTGTATAAAGAAGTATGTCATTTATGGATTACATTTTTGAAAGATTCCTCATATTACTCAAATTTTCAGTTTGTTTTATTTTCAGGAGCATTATACTGAATGTACTAATAATCATTTAGAATATATTAATAATGACCAAACAAGTAGTAAGTTTGATAAGTAACACCTTTGGCTATTTATTTATATAATACAATATTCTTGGTATAAATGTTTCAGAGTTTGATATTACTGGCTCACCTTTAAAATGTTCATTTGAGGAAGTAGATTTTGAGGATAGCATTATTTTGGTGAAACAAAGTTGGTACAAAGAAGAAGAAAAGTATTTACCACTAAGCAGAACAGAAGCATGGTAAACTAATAACAATTACACCAAAAACTCATTATAATTTCTGATATTAATAACATAGTTTCATTTCAGTGATACATTGAATGCATGCATTGACTTTCTAAAAGTTGATTTTCCTCCAATATTTGCACTTTGTAATGGTAATGACAATAAAAAAACTAGATTATTAGGTACAACTATTCAAAAAGACTGGTTTACTACAATTGAAATTTGTTCAGTTGATATTGAAACACTTGAAACCATTAAAGAATCATCTACATCAATTCTTCAAGAACATTTGAAACTTTCACATGCAAAGGGGCACAATGTATGTATCACATTTATATTGTAATTATATTGACACTCACAATATGATTCTTTTGTATTCAGGTTACTATATCTGCATTTAATACTTTTGATTTATATGGAATAAGTGAAGAATTGATAAACTGGGATGAAAATGTAAAGAGTAATTTTGTAGGAAGTTTAGTTGTGGAAGTAGATAGTTCCACTTTATCATTGTATCCACCTACAAGAGCATCAAAGAATAACTTGGTAAAAGTGATATTTTATGCATACAATAAATTGTGTAATTATATTTCATACTGTTTCCAGGTTGCTCAGATTGTTTCAGGGTCAAGTAACAGTCCTCTGAAAGAACTGTGGACACAATTACTATTGTTGAATCAGTATTTGAATATAGTAGAGGAATATAAAAAGCAGATAAGTTCATCTTATACTCCATCACCTTTGGAATTTCCAAAAGATTTCACAAGCTCATATAAAGAAGTATTTTAAAATACTAATATTTTTTAAATACTTTTAAAATACATTAAGTTATTAACAATACTATTTTTATAAAACAGGAACATACCGAAATAATGAAAAACATAAATCTTTTGTTAAATGGAGATTATAGTTATAGACCTGATACTGTTGATACAGATAAAATAAATTTTATAAACGAAGAAAATTTAGAAAATACTGTACAAATTAAACAATGTATACAGGCTCTTCCATTTAGGTATAATTTAGATTTTACTGACTTCTTATGGGAATTGCTCATTAGTAAGTACATATACCTCATTCTATATTGCATTATATGTATTTATATAATATATATTTTTCCATATATCAAATGCCATTTATACTTACAGAGAATTCAAATTATTTTGATATGACAAAATGTATTCACACAGTACTTGAAGAAATTATAATGAATGAATGTTTTGCACAGGTATAACAAAAATTGTTTAAAATTGTTTTTCCACGAATTTACATGAAACATAATAATTTAATCAATAATGTATATTAGGTAAATTTAACAAATTCAACAAGATTTGCTAAAGTTATCACCAATCCAAGTCAGCATAGAATAATTTCACCTTTACTGTCAGGTAGTTTACCATTAGAATATGTTATAGATATGGGTTTTGAAAAATTGTATAGAGACTATACATATATTTTAATAAGTTCAAGATTTAGTGACAAACACAACATCCAAGAAAAATTAGGAAATATTTCATGTGGTGAATTTGTAGTTGATGTCTATAGGTATGTTCTACAACATTATAATAAGATCTTTAATTATATTGTACAATTGTTTAAAACTATGCTTTCAGGGAAAGATTACAACGTTTGTCACAAATTCATATGTGTTTGGAATTTATGTTATTGTTGCAAGACAATTTAGAATGCTCCACTGATGATTTGAGGTCTCTGTATCTGTGTGCTTTTCAACAATACGTTTCTGAAAAGTCGCCCATACAAAATAGTGATTTGAATGAAAACATAATTTATACGTTACGCGCTCCACTTCCGGTTTCAGCCATTAATATTTTGAATAAGGAGTAAGTTCAATAACTATAATACCATTTTTGTACACAGGTACAACTATATATTGTTTTCAGAATTCTCACTACACGAAGAATTTCACTTTCATCCGAGTCAAAGTTATCAAAATTGACAACTATTAAATATTATAATCGAATACCCATATTTCCAAGAAGCATATATCCGTTAGGTAAGATTTTTTTTAGGAATATGATGTATGATACATATAATAGTTCCATGAGCACTTAAAATTTGTATGTATTATTTCCAGATGATTCAAACATTATAGATGATCCATATTATGTTACAAGTGTCATTTGTTCATCTAATAAATTCAAGTAATATTTGTATCTTGTGTAAAATTGCTATGGAAGATAAATATTAACATAAAATATATACAGACACAAGAAATTGTAAGCTATAAGTGTATATTTTTGGAGGTGTTTAAAAGAACAAAAACGTATTGCGAGGTAATTATATGTTTAATTCATAATTAATAAAATAAAAGTTTTAAAAGCATTCTTCAAATACATTAAATGTATTCCGTGTATAAATATAACTAGATTTATGAGTGTTTGTACTCTCAGTCATTGATAATGTACACTCCAATTCACTATTAGTCGTTACTTTCACTGACCTAAACCTCGTTAAATATATATATATTTATAATATGTATTATTATTTTCAATTCAAACTACTTTTTAATGTACAAATATATATGCAAAGTATGTTATATTTAGTAAAATATGTGGTTAAATTTCTGATGAAATTTATAGCCAACATTAAAAGGGACATTCACTGTTATACACAATGTAAATCTTCTTTAACACAGTACAGAATGCTACTTTATACAAGTAGCCAATTTTACATTAAAAACATTTTAAATTCTTTTTTAACATACTTTGGTTGCTTTTCTGAGTATCAGTGCTGTTAATGAGAAAATTTATATCAACTCTAAGCCATTAGTTAAAGCATGGTTTCACATGCAATAAGTACGTTACGTGAACAGTTTTAATACTGAGACGTTTCTACATCATCTACTCCAGAGATACTAGCTTGTTCAAGTACTTCAAGAAGCTTTTGCATTTCCATAGAATCTGACGAATTGTCAAGCGTTCTTTCGAGTGCCCGTACATATGACATACATGTACGTCCTTCGTGGTCTAAGTTATGTGGATTTGCTTTATGCTGTAACGGTTTGATAAATAAACAAACACATCATACCTTTCTATATTTGCATACTGTAATTAGGATAAGAAGAAACACACACCCATATCAGTAGTTGTGCCATAGCTAAGTTTCCTGTAGCACAAGCCAAATGAAGGGGTGTCCTTAGATCTTCCATACTGACAGACATATTAATGTCTTCGTAACTACATCTGGCCAAGCATAATGTAAATGCTCTCATATCGCCCCTACATTACATGTCAGACAAAAGATAAGTTATCTAACAGTTATCTATACCAGCTACAGCTTACTTGCAATTGAAAAATATTTACCGGCAAACTGAATCAATAAGCAATTTTCCTAAAGAAATGTTTGGGTTAATTGGTGGTAAGAAGATTTTGTCCTCGTACTTCCATCTGATCCATTGCTCTTTCTCTTCTCTAGGAGAATCTGAATTTGGTTTCTGTTTTCCGTTTAAACAATATTCCCAAACACTATTTGCTATATCATTACCGAGGGCTAACATTACACTTAATTGACCTGCGCTAAAGGTAATGACAGAGCTATTTTATACTATAGAACACAGTGCATGCATAACTAAGAATATATTGATGCGAACTTATATAATAATATCCTCAAAATCGATTCGCTTATTAGTAACGTTATTACACTTACGACCAATCGTCTAAATCCAATGACCTAACTTTCGATATGTGCGAACCTAAATTTCTATGTATTCCTGAACACTCAATACACATTAATACGCCTAAGTTTAGACTAGCCCAATCTGGATCTAAAATATATTAGAAGTGTAAGAAATGTCCGGTAGGTCTATTTAAATACTGCATTGTCTGTAGTAGATTTACTACTTACTAGGTGTTCCACAATCTACACAGGCATCATTTCCTGATACTTTGTTTTTTATACAATGCATTTTGAAAGCTTCAGTTTCATTCTTTTTATCGCCATCACTATTTTGTAAACTTGAAAGAATTTGTTGCTCTATAGCAGATATCCAACTGTCTCTATCTTCAGCATTATTTGCTTCAAAATGCCAAGTCTTATTTTCTAATGAAATTATAGAAAATTCGAAACTATCTTCTGTAAATGAAAATATATTCCAAATTAAGGTAACCTAATTGGAATTAATGAAATCACATGTTATGCACCTTGAGCATTGGATGATTTGGAACCCTTAGGCGTTTTCCCAGGCACTTTTACAGTTACATATTGTAGTAATATTTCTTTACCATTGGCGTCATTCATATAATCCTAAGTAATAAATGTTGTATAGTGTTGTAAGGCAAGGTTCAATACCATTAATCATAAATATTTAAATGCATGGTAATTACGTGTAAGCTAGAATGATAAGTTAGTCGACCATCCTCCAACAATGTAACATATTTCTTCTTCCATTCTTTTAAAGACTTACTACTGCGTTTGAATAAGTATCCTTGTTTTACAGGTATTTCTCTACCAACACCCATTTCACCCATGTTATATTTTTCTTTCTTCGATGGGGTAAAGATATTAGATTTTCTCCTAAATTTCCTGGAGTATACATACATGATGAGTACACACATTGCTGTATATGTACAATACACATATTACTGTACCTGATAGTAGTTGGAGTTAAAATTGAAGATCTAAGATCACTGTGCTGATTCTGTACATTATGAAAGTTATCACTTATAGATCCAGAATCATTTTGAACGGAACTACTGTGAACAGATCGGGAGTCTTCCTCTTTGTCAGATGTCTGTGCAAAAAACAGGTAATTACAAAAACATATTATTTTAATATATTAGAGTAAAATATCTCACACTCAATTTTGATGAATTCGCTGCTTCCATGTCTTTGGCAAGGAGCTGTACATTTTTGGCAATCACTGGAACAGGATACTTTGTCTCATTATCTGTTGCTTGTTGTCCATTACATCGATAATGTTTTGCAGATATATGTTGAATAATTTTTTGACACACTGTAAGATTCAAGATACTCTTAGAATAATTAACAAAGTCGCAGAGGAATAATAATAATCAATATAAAGGAAAATATACTGAACATCTAATGTAGAAATTTCACTTTTGTAGCATGTAAATAATTATGTTATAGAGTCATAAAAATAAAAGATATTGAAGTCAGTGATAAAATATTTACCATCTTGAAATACTCTTTCCACATTCAAACCATAAATAGCACATGTTTCATAGTAAGGACACCTTAAATCACATGCCAATTTCCTTGGTCTAATATCTTTTATGACTCTTGGATTAGAATCATTAATTGAATCTAGACAGTATGAAATAGATATTATATAACATTAAATTAATCAGTATAAACTGAGAAGAATAAATAAACTATACATTAAGAAATATTTCATAAGAGCAAAGAGAATGCATGATTTACCTTGTACTCCTACAAGTATTTTTGGTACTTCTGACATATTTCGAAATGAACACATTCTATTATAGAAACTGCAAACTATGGAGAAACTTTCTTCGCTCTCTAAACTAAATACAAGTAATAAAGCATCTATCCAAGCAGAAAACTGAAATGAGTGATACCCTAGTTAAATGTTGAAGTATGTATGTATGATACATGTGTACATATATAGATATGCATGAACACATTAATCAATTAATATATTATATATTTTTTGTGTACTTGTGATTCGGGTACTCCACCCTCGTCTCGAATTAATAAAAGATAACTCTGATCATTGATAAAAACTTCCTTCTTAAATCGACCACCTTCTGGAGATTCTTCGTGCATAAATGAACCAGTCAAATATCTATGAACTAAAGCAGATTTTCCTGAGTCAGATGAACCAATGATCCCTAAATGTAATTCTGGTACATCTCTAGCCAATGTCCATTCATGACTATTAACAAAGGAATCTACAATAGAGAATGATTAAAGAAAGGAATAATAAAAGAAAAAATAAAAAAAAAATATACGAATGCGTTTAAAGATTTTATTACATATTGTACCTTCAATCGCAACAACATGCTCGCGAATTTGTTTCGCGATGTGTGTGTCAGATATTAGATCTATTAAGTCGTAAATAGCGTATATCGATGGATGAACACTTTCGAAACGTTGTATCTCTTGTCGGATCGCAAGGGAATGATCGTGTCCGCTCTGCTCAGTTGTCATTTTCTTTTAGATCACTTTAATTTACTTTTTTACAAAATCACTTTACAGATACAGCCTTGAACTGCATTGCGTCGGTGTCGTCACAAATAAAAATGTTCTCACATGATTCCATGCGCCGAAACGTATCTGTTATCACGTAACACATGTCAAATTCGAATATTTATCAACATTATTGGCTTAGACGAACAGGTTATCTGGTACACTACTGCAGAAAGCAACCCCGCCTTCCGAGAGACAATAAAATCGCTTCCCTTGATCAAATCGCCAACGGTAGATTATGCAAGTTACATAATATGTCTCAATTAATGTACATAAAGGGAAAACCTTGTAAATAACAGCAATCCGTTGTGGAAATACTTTTTTTATGCAAAGCAACTGTGAAACTTCATTTTCACGGTGTTATAGTGTTATAGATCTGTCGCCTAAAAAGCAAAGGATGGCTTATATTACCAACCAATAAATATTAGACCCCGTTGCTGAATGCAACTGCACGTAATTTGCATCTCTATACGCATAGTTTTTTTAAAAGTAATTTTGTAGCCTTTCAAATGCTGTGGGAATTATGTGAATTGAAATAAAATTGTGTGTTTGTAATGAATTCCATTGGATCTGTTATGATAATGTACGGCAATTTAAATTTATGTATTTCACGTTGTAAAATTGATGTAACTAGATAAGTTTGATTTTCCATTCAGAGCACACGTCAATGGTAACGTGGGTAACGTGTCCTTTAGCGCGTATTGTTTGCTTCTCGTAATTATCACTGTTTTGTTTATATACATATCACTCAAGAATAAAGAAATAATGCTATAGACTGATTTATGTCATAGTAATATTCACAATGATTGCTACGCAAATTGACGATGACATTTATGATGGATACAATGATTATCCAACAGTTTATAGTATTAAAGATCTTGAGCAAGATGAATATTTTCATGAAACTCTTAACACAAGTTATGGAAGAAGATCACTAGTAAGTATAAAGAAAGGAATTTTATAACAATAGGTAATTATTAATTAAACTAGTAAAAAAATACGTATTTTTTTATTATCTGACAGTTCACACCAAAAGTCCCTGGAACTGCTATGCGTTTAGGCACATCAAGTGGAGTGAGTAAATTTATGAGTATGCACATTTTTATATCGTAATGTTGCTCCAATTTACTATTCTTTATTATTTTTAGTTTCATAGGTCTGGTACTGGTATATCTGTACGTCCCACTACTAGTGGAATAAGACCAATGACTGCAGTTAGAGGTGCTGGTTATACAAGCAGCAGTCGTCAAACTTTTGATCCACTCAATATGAGTAACACTATTAAAGGAGCTGCACCACCTCTAGAAACTGGAAAAGAGGACACGTGAGATGATTATGAATTAATTACTCAACACACGTTCTAATTTTTAAGGCAATGTTTTGATACTTATTCTTAAAGGCCAGAAGAGAAGATAAAAATAGCTGAAAGAAAGATAATGGAATTAATAGAGAGTTCAGTGGAGGCAGCATATGAGAATAATACGAGGGTTGCTCTAGAGAGAGCAAGGGAAGCTTCTTCAAGAGAAAGAGCTCTTATTCGATTACAAGAACAAGCTGGCCTTAGTGATAACCATAATGTAGACTTAACATTTGCTGTAAGGATTGAAGTGTTCTACTATATTGGAAAAATGAGGTTGAAAATTTGAAACACTGTGTAATTTTCCAGGTTATTTTTAACTTAGCTATTCAATATACTAATAATAATATGTTCACTGAAGCTATAGCCACTTATCAAGCTATAACAAGAAACAGAATGTTTAGTAACAGTGCTAGGCTTAAAGTGAACATGGGAAATATATATGTTAAAATGGGACAATTATCTCAAGCAATTAAAATGTACAGAATGGCATTTGATCAAGCACCAACGGCTCAGAAAGATTTAAGGTAATAAAACGACGGTATGCATTAATGTATGTAAATCATTCAGTTTTCATAGTTGAATTTTTATGTTTATTACTTATATAAACTAATTCGTTGAATAATCCACAGAATAAAAATAATGCATAACATTGGAATGTTATTTGTACAAATGGGTCGTTTGGAAGAAGCAGCTAATAGCTTTGAATGGGTTATGAAAGAAAGAGCTGAATTTAAAGCAGGGTTGCATGCTGTTTTATGCCATTTCGCGTTGTCTCATAGGGATAAAATGAAAAGAGCGTTTTTAGAGTTATTAGAAGTTCAGCTTAACATAGATCAGGAAGACAGATATAATATCAGTACTGTGAGTTGGGCAAATTTATGAATGTTACTATGTAAAATGGTTGTTTGGACTATTGCCCACACTTGGTAGTTATCTAATTACATGCTTTATAGTGTGCTTTAACAGACAAACTGTTGTTCTATGCACAATCACTTTGTAGCAGCTGGATGTCATCACTTTTAATAATGAACACTGAGCACAATGTGAACATAATCACTAACTCATAGAGAAAGATTTTATTTTGTATTGTAGTGTTATTTATATATTTTACAGGATGATGTTGCTTCTAATATATTAAATGAAATTTTGAAGAATGATGATTTATCTAAGTTAGAAAAGGAGTTGAAGTTGGAAGCCGAAAGAACAATACTTTGTGCTGCAAAACTAATAGCACCTGTTATCGAAGATACACTTACAGCTGGATTTGCATGGTAAATTTAAAAACAATTTACTTCATATACACCTCAAACTTAAATATTCTACTTTATATATTATAATTGCATTTTTTAAAGGTGCGTTGATGCCATAAAGTCTTCAGCTTACGGACCTCTAGCCGCTGATCTGGAGATAAGTAAAGCAATGGTGTTCTTACACAATAGAGAAACGCAGTTGGCTATTGATACCTTAAAAATGTTTGAAAATCGGGAAAGTAAAGCTAATAGCGCAGCTGCGACGATGCTTTCATTTGTTTACTTCCTTGTAAGTCATTGTTCTTATTTTGATTGTTTTATGAAGAAAATGTAGACTATTGTTACTTCTATAGCAAGGAGACTATGAACAAGCAGAAAGATGCGGAGAAATTGCTCGAAACACAGACAGTTACAATGCAGCAGCTTATGTTAATCTATCAGCTTGCGCAATCAGAAAGGGCGAATTACACATCGCTAGAGAGCTTCTCTTGTGTGCACTGGACACAGATGCCAGTCACGTGCAGGCGCTTTATAATCTGGGTATTTTTCATTAACACGCACGAATGTAATTAAATAGATGATAATCCTATTAATTAATGAAAATTGAATAATAGGACTAGTCTATAAGAAGGAAGGTATGTACGAAGAAGCTTTGGAATGCTTTTGGAAGATTCGTAATATGGTCAGACACGATCCTCAGACACTGTACCAAATTGGCCATCTCTATCAACTTATGAGTGATGCAGACCAAGCAGCTGAATGGTATAGTACTTGGTTGCAATATATATTTTGTTTGATTCAATCATTATCAGTTTTATCAGTATTGGAAATATTTTATCTTGTATGTATGTTGATTAGGTTTAATCAATTACTTGGCATTATACCATCTGATCCCGGAGTTTTACAAAAACTAGGTGAAATGTATGATGCTGCTGGAGATAAACAGCAAGCATATCAGTTTTATAGCGATGTAAGTTGTTTTATAGTGCTTATTTTCTTATCGCGTTTTACAGATTTATTGAAATATTTATTTTTACAGTCGTATAGATTCTTTCCTGCAAATTTCGAGGTAATTGATTGGCTTGGGTCGTATTTTGTATCAATGCAGGTAAAGATTTTACTCTCTTCTTCCATATTGAGTACTTGAAACGTAAGCTTATATTGTAATGCGCTTCAGGTTGCTGAGAAAGCATTAGTTTACTTCAAGAAAGCAGTAGAACTTGCTCCTGATGAACCAAGATGGAGATTGCTTGTCGCAGCTTGTTTGAGACGAACAGGCCAATTTCATAAAGCTCTATTGGAGTATCAAGATATCCATGAGAAGTTCCCGGAAAATGTGGAATGTCTTAAGTTCTTGATTCGATTATGTAGCGATCTTGGTTTGAAGGAGGCTCAAGTTTATGCAGCGGAATTGAAGCGTGTTGAAAAAGCGAAGGAGTTAAAAGATAGACAAGAATCGGCGAGACCAGGTATAGTTTATACGCACTTTCAAGTATATCAAGTATTAGATCAATGCTATAACATTTGTTTATAGGATCCAGAAGAAGCAATAGCGGGGCATCGTCACGGACAGGTTCCGGAATGAGTATATTATCGGATCACAGATCAAGTCCCGTTCTTGGTAGAAGAGATATTCAAGGCTTAAGCAGTGCTGGTATCACAAGACCGAATCGAATTTCTACAACTGAGAATTACCCAGAAGCGATATCCGATACGAATGATCAACCGAGTACGTATTATTAACATTGTATAATTTTGAGATGAATTGTTTAAATTGAATGCTATTACTAATCTCGAAAATATGGGTGAGATATATGTGACTATATTGAAATTATATTATTCATATTGTCTTCGTAAGTGCCAAACACTTGAATGACCTATCAAAGCTTCAGAATTGCGTAGCCTTATTTGAAATGAGCATTAACAAGGATGATCTACAGATGTTGGTTGCATTGCTCTAATGGATTGAACAGATGATAAATGAGTCTAGCTATTTTGAATAGCATGTTCCCGCTCTCTCTGTAGAATAGTACTTCCCAGACTTTTACCCTAATCATTACTTTGTTTCAAATTGTTTCGAAATAGTATATAATGGTATAATAGATAAAATTACCTCTAATTTCCAATATCTTATGTAGGTACCCCATACGTAGATCCAATAGGTCCTTTACCTACTCGCCCTATGACATCCGCCGGAAAGAGGGATGATGATTTCGGAGATGAAGAACTGGGCGATGATCTTTTACCGGAGTAACGTGAATATAATATTTCTCACTTTCACATTATACTTCACTATTCTTACGAATTGTACTACAAATCGCACCGGGATGGAAGATTACATTTGTAACACCGAACTGAACTGTGTTACACGTAGTTTCAATTTTACGGCGATTATATATTTACACGAATAAATTAATTATATTGAGCCAATTACTTTCGACGTCGACCTTTACTTTCATTTCAGCTGGCTCCATTACAAATAAATTAATATTTTCGTTTAATAAGTTTATAGAAAAAAAACAAAAGGAATGTGTAGACTTCGGCACACGTGTTCCAATACGTTCCTAAAGTCTAGACGTAAATCACGCGTTTCTTAATTATCATTTCGAAGTGCAAGATGGTTGTCTATTGGATGGTGCCATATATTGTGAGGCCACGAGGGTCAGCCGATTGTAACGATCTAAATTTAAACACGCCGGCCAATTTAATCAAACTCCATTCAGCCTATGTAGTTTAGGAGACGGATGTTATTTTATTGCAGCTATATTCATACTCCATTCAACGGGCATAACGCGAGGTGGACCGGTATGAGCATTCGGGACGCGTTCCTTCCGGCTCCCGAACCATTACGAAATTTATAATAAACAAATTCCCATTGTGCCGGTTAATTGCACGTAATCGATCGAACCTTGAATCCTAATTCAGAATTATTTTACAGTCCAAAATCAAATTCCATCCGGCAAACGTTTCATTATTCATCTCATAAGTTTAGGGGAGACCTGAAGGGCAGGGAAGCGACCTGACGAGGACCTTATTACTCCAGGACCATAATCCCCTGATCCTCGCCTTCGTTCGATTCTGGACGACGACTTTAAATCTCTCGTGACCACCGCAACAGGTGATATTACAAAACCCCGTAATGTAAATTACGCGTCTCGAGAATATCATTTCACGTGGCGTAAATAGTCGACGATCACGTGGAAAGGGAATCGAAGAGGAACGACTAGACGCGTAATAACTACAGGACTCATCCGATCCTTGTTTTCTACGTTTACGTCTGGATTCGGACTACAGTCACGTGGTATCATCTCTGCACGCGATATTGCGGAACACGTGTGTGCGTGCATGCGCGCGTAACACGCCACACGGGTAAGTGAATCGTACGTATTATTCGCCCGTGTGTTTCCTCTGGATATGTATGAACGTGTGCGTATATGTGTGTGTATCGCGCGGGGAGAGCCGCGCGGGCGCACGTAACACGCGCTGATACGGTTCCGCGGCGGCAGTGGGGAAAGCGACGTGATCCGGAGGCACGGCCGACCAGTTGCTCCTCTGCGATCGAGTACATTTCACGGTATACCACCCACGTGCTCGTATGTGTATGTGCTCTGTTACGTACGTCTCTCTGTCGACGAGAAACTTTGCAGTCATTGACCGGTAACTGGACCCAGCGTGCGAAGGATAGAAGAGGATCACAACACAAACCGAGTCGCGGAGTCAGCAGTTGTACGTAGAAAGCCGTCAGGGTTTGTGTTGCGCACTGTCCACTAATCGCCGGCGACTAAGTTGTCGAGCGACTTCACAACCTGGTCCAGTCGCGGTGGTAGTCGATGCACAAGCTCTCGTATATTGTTATGCACCTCGTAGTCGTCGGCGGCTACTCGAAAGCGCGTAACAGACCTAAGGTGGTGAGCCTGCGTTTGTCATTGTCACAGGGACATATTTGCGTTTTCCGCGCGCCCCCGTTATCAATCAGCTGAGAATGTCGATTTTTTTTTTTAATTCTTATCGGCGCCCACGTCCCGTTCATCATCCGATTATCGACGTCGAATTTTATCCCCACGTAACGCGTTTAATATGTCATTATCGCGATGACTGATGGATTAAATGTAAAGCCCGCGCGGATTCGGCTGTTTACATCGTCGTATTGGCCACGTGGGTCCTTGAAATACCGAGCTGTAAGTGTTGTCATCGACCGGTTGTTTCGAGTGTGTACGTGTGTGCGTGTGTGTACAACCGGCCGTACGGTTTAATATGCAATGATTTCTCGACTTTTTGACATACGGATATTATCATCGACACGGCCACTCCATATTCATATCCTCTTTCGCGCGTTCTTCGTTAGACTTTGCTACCGATGATTACATTAACGCTTTGCTACTGATGCATTTGTATCGCGTGACGAAAGCACGATCTACGGCCGTTCTGTACATGTGTCAAACGTGTTGACGAAAGTACATTATATCGTTTTCGTACGATCATTATCGTTTATATAGATAATTTTGTAAAACACTCTGATCGCGTTATCGCATCGTCGCTTTCTGTATCGTATCGTTACTCCCTTTCTAATTAATATCTATCAGCAGGCTTCTCCTCGATAATTCCATTTCGAATTGTTCTACATTCCCGATTCTTTTTCGCCACACATCAAATTATTCGACGACTGTCTTGAGAAGCCACACGATTCACAACTATCGTGGGGAAACACGTGTTTACAAACGTGTGTGCTCGGATCCAATGGTCTCATAAATAATTATAAACCGCCGTCAGGAATACCGTCGAAGCATCCAGACGTCGAGCATTGTTGTATATTCTCGAAAATGATAACAAAACCCCTTAACTAATCGATCCGTTTGGTGAGTTCCGAAGTTGCATTCAATGTATCTATACATCACGCGGCTTGTCTGGAGAACATTCGTTATTATTACCTAACCACGCCGTGAATAGATAAAACCTTCATGGATATTTATGCACGATCGATTTTAGGGATTAATCCCAATCGGAAAATTCAACGGACCACCTGGCTCGAGGGAATTCTACTCGATTAAGGTTTATTCGAGACCTTGATGATAATGGTCTCGTAATTCACGGAAGCTCTATAATTCATGCGGTAAAGATCATACATAACCGACGCACGGGTTCCGACCGAAAGGGTAGTCTGTTATCCGTGTACGGAAATTGTGTCTCTGGCTGAATTCCTGGCGCGTTTCCAATTTTACTGGAAATTGGATCGACCCCACGAGGTTCTGTCCTCGATATGCTTCTTCGTATACAAATCAGGTCGCATTGTTCTCTCGCTGATCTCCGTTAACTAAACAAATAATAACTTATCCCGCCAAAATAGTTCGAGTTGCGTATTCGTTTATCCCGTGGACTAATAGCGTACGATAATTGAACAGCCCCCGATCATCGATCCCGATTGGCAGAATCGGTTGATTGTATCGAAGAACGCATTCTACAACGGGATACGAAAGCAGAAGGCGTCTACTTTTTAAATGTGACGGCCGTGTGACGATTGCGCGTACTGTACCGCGGATTAGAATCATCACGTCAGGTCAAGTGGCTGAATTATCCTGGTTGACGTTTTGCACCTTCCAATTGATTTTAATGGACTCTGATGGGCTCGGAAGAATGTTCCAGTGGCCATTTCGCGGTGTGTCTTCTACCCGGGTACCGAGATCTTGAAAAATTCCCGATCCACCGGGTAATCACGTCTGAATCCGATCGATCACCGATATTGTATACCCGACCTACGATACTGAAAATTACGAATCGAGGACAGCTGGTATATCTTTATTCATGCGGGTGCCCGGCGTTCGTGGGCAATTTGCGAGTACGCTGCAATTTGTCCGAACGACAAAGCGACCAATGTATTCAGTTTGTCGAGCCCCTTTTCCGTCCACACCGTAAAACGTATGCTTCTCGCCTATAATTACAAATTTCTCGTTCGAACCACTTGTTCGCGACTTTGTTATCGGCGTATAAAGAATTTCTTATGTGGAATTGTCGTGTGAAAATCGTGGAACGATAATCGATCGGGGAAACAGGTTTCTGCGGGCAAAATAAAAATAAGAAAGACGATCACGATGGTATGCGAAAGCTACGCCACACGTCTCGTCCGGCGAATCTTGCTCGTCGAACAAGTTCTTCGAGTCGTTGTGTACTCGCCGTTCACGTCGAGATGAGATTTTTATATTCACGAGCGTATTAGACTTTCAAAACCGGACTTTCTCCGCGTGGACCTTTTTTTTTTTTTCTTTCTTTTTAAGATATACGAGTATTGGCGGTAGCCCGACGAATTTACGATCCTCTTCGGCGTAGGAAAATTCGGCGTTCTAATTTCAGGGAGCGTGGAATTGTTTCGTGATCGATAGTTCCCCCGACAAAATTGTCACGTTGCCTAATTGCCGGCCAATTTGTGCGCAAGATAGCGCGCGTTCGCGATATACGAACGCGCTTGCGTATTTTATAGCGGTGCATGCGGGTGTGCGACGTGCATGGAGAACACGCTGCTCCCGAAAGCTCTAATCGAGAGCAATCCACGAAGGGATTGGTGCTGCCGTGGTGCACCGACCGTTTCTAGAGGTCCGTTGGCACAGCAAAAATCCCGAACAGTTTTCCGATTTTCGGAGGAGTGATTCCGTTGGTGCTGAAACGCGCGAGTTCATGGATTTTCTTCGAGTTACAGTGCCTTCGTCATCGTCGTAATCTATTGCGAGTTTCTTTGTTTCGTAAACGAGAAATTACGTAACTTTGGTGGAAACGTAAAGGGGTTAAGTCAGATAAGGGGGTCAAAAGTGCCCTTAGACCGAATGGGACTTGTGTTGGACCATTAGATAACTTACCAAGAAGAAACAATTTTCCAGTAATTTTCAATTATCGAATCTCGACCAGGAGGGTTGTAAAATTGGAAAAATTCGGGTTATCGATTTTTCGTTGCATTATATATTTTTCCTAACACCGCGACGTCGTGTCTTCAGAAGTATTATGTTAATCCGGAAAATAGAGGGAAAACCGATAATTCGAATTTTCCCAATTATTTTTTTTATAACATATAAGACTATACCGTCTAAGGGCACTTTCATCCCCTTATTTGGCTACATCCCGTGGCAGATTATTAATCGAG